AACCTTCAAAGCCGCATTGGACATTTCCTGTTTACTAGATTCTCAGCACTTTTCTATTGAAAGGCAAAATTTTTCTTAATCGAAAACTACATATTCAATTGCAAATATGTTCATTTAAATGAATTTGGACTAATTGCATTAAAAAAAATTTCATTTAATGGCCAGAGATGAGCTCATTTCCCCAGGAAGACCTTTTCGTAATCCATTCTGAAATTATACAACGGATTTCCTGAATTTTTTTCTCTTGTCTATGCTTCTTGTGAGTTGTCCAAATGAATGTGCGTGGATTTTGAGAAGCCGTATTTGAAAGAATTTGCTTCTATTTAACAATTTTGCGTATTTTTTAAATGTTCTGTTTTAATATTACTTATATTCACTTTTAGGCCAACAGCTTCTTTTGATAGGCTTTTTTTGTACGTTTGATCTCAAATCTACTCGTCAAAAAACTTTTTTTTTATCAATTCTTGTACAATGTTTGCCAAAAATTTTACGAGCGAGACAAGTGGACATTTCTGATTAACGGATTTGTACAACCGACACCGTTGACCAGACTCAAATATCTCAGCTTATACTCAAAATTTCCACCCTACATCTATATGTTTGATATATAAGTCAAATTAGTATTATGAAAGAGTTTTGAAAAAGCAGTCGCTATGTTTAAAAAATTGCTCAGAAAACAATTTCCAGTTACTTTACCCGACGGGAAATTGAGAAATTGGGGATGGGAAGTTGTTGTGATTCGGTTGTCAAAATCTATTTGTGCTATTTATGCGGGTTGTTTAGCGATAAATTCGTCAGATTAGCCTTGTCGTCTGATTACAAAACGTTTTGACTAACATTTAACAAGGACGAATATTCCCATGGTACCGGAAATTGTGTTTGTATCAAATTCCAAAGAGAAATAGGTTTTGCCAAATGACTATTTGATATGACCAAGCATTTCGCATGTGGCTTGCCTGAACTTTTATGGGAATCTGCATGCCCATGCATTACCTTGTGACATTCCGGATTTCCGCTTTTCATCGGCTCTATTATTTGTTTTCGGCTTCCGCAGACAAATTCTCCAATTTTTGCTGATGGCTGAATTTCGATTAAAATTTTATTGCGAAATCCAATTAAACTTTTTTTTACCTCAAAACTTTAAGACCCACCAAATATTTTTGATGTGTAATCCTTGCAGTCTTTGAACGCGACCTCAAAATTTATAGTTTTCATCTCATAATAAGTCATTTTCACCAGTGACATCTTATCTTCTGCCACATTCACTTTACACTTATCCCGGCACTCAAACATTTTTTTGTGGCAATTACGGCGGAATGTGATTGGTTGCAAGAATTCAAAATGGTGACATATTTGCAAAGCCAACTCAACCAAATAATGTTTCGGGAGGGATACTGCAAATTGTAACGCGTTTTTTTCGGAAAGAGGATTGAAGAAAGTCACTTTTTTTCATGTTGAGAAACTCCAACTTAAGCCTTTTGTTTGTTTTTCCTTCCGCATTCAATTAAGTCTCCCAAGACTCGCAAATAAACTTTTGTAACATTTTAATATTAAATAAACAACTAATGCGATAACGCTTGAATTACAAATAACCAGACAATCCTCTATAATTCATCCTGGAATTTCTTAAAGTTTCAATGCAAGAAACAACGAAATGTAAAAAAAAATGTCAAAGTGCTAGTTAAGAGAAGAATCACGTAAACAACAAATTATTAATCTCCTTTAAATCCTATATAATTAGCTTTTTTTCTGATGAATATAATGGAGGGTTATACGAAAGGCAGCAAGAAACTTATAATTAATTCAACATGTCAGGTGATAAGGTTTCCCGATTTTCTCATATTTTTAACTGAACTAAAATAATTCCTAGTGGACTAGAATCTGAGCAGAACAGACCAGGTATGGTTAGTTGAAATATGATGACTAACATTTTTGAAAAAAAATGTTACATATTTTTTGAGAAATAAACCAATTTCTGGCAAATAGTATCATTCTTAATGTCAATTCAAACATGAAAAACTGTAGTTCATTTAAAGAGTCAAAGTGTATTTGTATATGGAATTATATGTTGAGTGATTCATTCGCCATTTTTAGACTTATTGATTTTCTAAGACCAATGAAAATCATGTAGGCAATAATTAAGCGATCAATTTGGTTTCCTACTTTTTTTCAAATTCGCCAGTGATGTCGTGTCATGAATACCAATTCTTTTGAAACAATATGCATTAATTTGGGAATTCGCACATTGTTCTTTCAAAAAACTAAAGAAACCTTGCATTTTTTCCATCGTTTCTTCGTGGTTTTGTCGCCAAATGCAACTCCATAGTCTCGTTTTCCATCTCAGTCTTAGCTTGTTGTTTTTTTTTGTCGTTTTTTGTTGCCTTGTCTTGTTGCTCTCAAGATTTTCACACACTTCTGATATAAGTCGGGGCCCCAGCAAACTTAATGCTTTTTTCTTTTCAAATTTGTGCCGGATCTGCAGCGAATAAAAAACGTGGCACGCGTAGGCCCATCAAATATGCCTCATTCTGATTCACAACCGGCCAAATTCATTGATTATTCAATTTTGCGCCGTGAATCGAGTTCGCTTGTCGGGTCCCATGTTTTGCCGCTCAGAATAATGGAAATATCCGATTTCACTAGGCATTGAAACCTCTTTTTTTTTCTTTTGTTCTCCCCTCTTTTATGGCATATTGAGCAGCGGCTATGGTTTCTGAATAGAAGTTACTTGTAAAAATTCTGATCTTTTTGGTGTTTGCAAATGGCGTGAAATCGCTAACAAAGGCTCCTTCGACGTGAAGTCGTCACAATTTATGAATAAATCATGACTATGTGGTTCAAAGTCTCGACAACATTAATTTTTTGTTTCCGGCTTTTTGTTGCCAGCCATTAATTGCAAATCAAGGTTGTCAAGATCAATTTTATAAGTTTAGTCGTTTGCCCTTGTGACAAAGCCAATTATTAGCAGGATGTTCTAGGATGGCTAAAGACCAAAAAAGAACATCATGATAGAATGCAAGAAAGCACATGAGTGTATAAGATTAAGACGAGATTAGAAAAAAAATCAAGATGAGAACAGTTGGCCAGCAGTTCTTTTATGTGTAACTCAAAAACCCACCATTCCGCCGATCTTCTGAAAATATTACATAATTCACTCTTTCAAAAAGTGCACATTTTACCCGTGAGAAAATTGCAAGAAAGCAATGGAAATGAAATATTACGGCTTCAATAATTCTTGTATCACTGTTTTTATCCTTTTTAGAGAACGTCATAGCAATTCCTTTTAAATTTTTGGATTCGATGTAGGATTATTTCTGTAAACTTTTTGTCAATTCTTCATCAACGTAAGACAAGAGGGAGAGAGAGACAATGTACTAAGTTTTGGGAATTTTTCTCGATTAATGCAAATAAATCCATATATTTGGATAGTTGTTTCCCGATGAACTTCAGCTTGACTACACCCCCACCGCTTTATTCAATTGTTTGGGACCAGTCAGGCAATCATTTTATAGACAAGTGACGTGATCATTTCAAATCCGGAGGAACTCTCAAACGAAAACTTTGAAACATCCATTCAATCTTTTGCATTTTGTTTGTAGCTCAATGTGCACAAAAAAACTTGTCGGTTATGAACAAGTGTGTATTCCCTCTGAGATTAATCTGTGTCGAAACCACGAAAAAACGGAACGCGGCCTAGAAATAATTCGTGTAAGCTCAACTATTGTTTGACGAAGGCCAAAGATCGAGCAATACATGCATACACGCAAAAAAAAATAGGCTCATGAATACCACCATTTGTTGTGCGCTTTGATGCTCTCGTTGTTTTGTCGGTATAGTTTAACCTGATCTAGCCGCTGTTTATCATTGAGTGACGGAGAATAGCAGCTCCAAAGGTCAACTTTTTTTTCAACATATTTCGCTCTTTTCTGTTTTTCTTCCGCTCCGGGCATTTGTTCATCGTAAGTTTTCATGACGCAGGTCAAACCCGCGAGCAGTGTGTTGTGACATGCGAAATGCATCAGTGTCAGATCAAATTCAAATCTGAACCACAAGCCGCCCCCACACGCTTCGAAATTTTTGTTTTCAATCCGAATGATACTTCAATTGCAATCTGAGCCACTAGATATTTCCTGGCAGTCATTTTTGTGTCATACTGCCACAAATGTTATCAATTTTGATTATTTTTATCACTGAATTATGAGTCAACAATATAATCAGCCGTTTCCGACCATTCTTCATATCGTCATCGCTAGTTGCGATGTCTCGACCATAAACAAATAGCAACATTCGGTTAGAGCTGATAATCATAAAATTTCTATTCATGAGCTACATTAAATTATTTTTTGAATATTTGTTAGCTTTTGTATTTCTCCCATTGTTTAAAGAATTCGATCCATCAGACTTTCATTAAAACTGATTACCATCAACAACTGTCGCGTCATAGAAATAAGATAAACAGAAAAACACGCACACATAAGCGTCAGAAAATTGTTTTTTCTCAGTCAAAGTGCAGCCATGTTTGAACAGAAGTGCGAGAGAGTTAGTGTGCGATAGAGCGTTCAACCGCAACGCGGTGCGCCACGCGTGAGCAGGAGACGAAATACGAGGCAAAATCCTATTATAACTCGAGTTTTTTTTTTGAAAAAAAAAGGACCCGAGCGGCAGAAACCCCCTAATATTTTGCCTGCCCTGCTTTATTGCACTGCATTGAACATTCACAAAAATGGTTGAGTGACACGTTTAATTATCGTGGTGAGTCATTTGTTACCTGGAAAATAACGCTAAATAAGAATATACTAATAAAGAAAATTAGGCATAGAATGCAACATTTTAATATTTATTTCGTAATCGTTTACCATTCCCCCTATTGAACCTTTTCTTTCTCTTTCTCTTTCTCTCTCGAATAGAAACAAATTTGAAAAGAATTCTCATGTATTTTAAAGAAAACATTCATATCTTAAAGCTAATGTTTTTTTATTCCAGGCGATTTCGGCACAGTTATGGCATTACAAGCACCATCTTCAAAACTGACAAGGCCATGCCCGTCGAATTTGCTGAAACCACCGTCATTAAGCAAATCGTTTATGCAGTTTTCCGATAATGACTGCCTTAGAACACCAACAATGAGCGATATGCTAAAGGTAAGAATTGGTTCAAAGAATTTTTGTCAAATAGCAAATGTTTTAGACACCGACAGTGCTGTCGTCGCCAAAGGTCACACCAATTGCATTAGACGGAACACCAAAAATTGCCGGATTCTCTGGATTCACACCGCAGAATAATCAAACCTTTTTTGGAGAGCATGATTCCCTATTAAACAGTGAGTTTTTGATTTCAACCAAGTAAAACCAACATGAGCTAATGGAACCATCAATTATGTGTGAAATAGTTTAACCATGAAGAGAGGCACTGCAATTCAAGATTGTTATTATTTCAATTTCTACAACCTATAAATAAATTACACATAATTGTTTATCAATTGTTCTTATTTTGACACATTCAAATTTTTAATTATTGATTTTTCGTTCTTAAAATAGCTGCAACCAACACTCACAGTTGTCAATAGATTGTTCTTTTTCGATGTTGAGTGATTAATTATGAACAATGATATTAACGGATAATATGTAGGCGACCTAGATGTTTGTGTGGAAAGTTGTCAACCAAGTTTCACTAAATCGCAGGTTAATCTAGTTTTTTTTTCGAATGTAGCCTTCTGCCGTCGCAAGGTCAAAATGAGCGCCAAATTTGTTTTGTTTCAATATTCTCTCAAGAAAATTCAAGTTTATTCGTTAAAATTTGACAGAATGAAACCGTTTGGCAGCTTAACTTCTTTATTAAATTTTATGAAGTTATCGAGCACATCTGATCTAATTCTTGCATATATCATTCCATTCCATAAGAATTTCGCGTATATCGCTTCGATTGCGAACAAGCCTTGCAATTCTTTGATCTCTTTGATCACATCGAAACTTTATTTTCAAAATTTTTTTTTGAGAGTAAATTATTGAGTCCGTGTTTGTTTTGTTCTCTACGTTTCCGATATCACTATCAATGAATTGATAAACAATTACTATTGAACTTTTAGGCCACTTGGATTACCTTCAAGGTACTATGAATGACAACTCATCATCGTCATCATCAGCATCTTCAAACGCATCCGACACAGCGCCAACATCGGTTGAGAACATGCAAAATGGTGGAGAGCCACCAAAAATGATGAAAAATAAACCGGAATCGTTAACATTGAAGCCAAATCCAGTGAATTTGATGAACGGTGTGAACTCCCCAGGTAAGAAAATACTTTTAATTCGTTGGTTTAAAATCTCAAGTTAGGCTTATCAGCTTCAATGTTCCAATTCTCACCTATGGTTGAACATTTCTTACAAAAACTGGCTAAAGGTGGATCATCCTGTGGACTTCCTGACCTGACAGTAGATCCAAAGCCGCCTACGTTTGATAATGACCCGACAGATTTACTGGTGAGGGTTTTTTAAGCGTTATTCTTCTTTTTTTAATAATACAAGTTGATTCGGATAAATATTTCTTTATTCAGCCTGTCGACGACGAAAAAAAAGATGATATTATTCTGTTGGAGGAGAAAAAGCCAAATTCCATGTTCACTCGTCCAATTGTTGCGCAACAGAATGGAATTGGAATGAGGAATTCTCCACCAAATATGAACATGAGGCTCAGTCATCCCCCTCATCGTATGCCACCGAATCATATAGACATCCCCAATAATGTGCCCGTCCCTGTGCCACTTCCTGTCCCAATTACGGTAAGGATGACAATATGTGTGACGCATTAGTTGAAATTTTCAGCAACAAAACACAAGCGGATATAACTCAGGAAACGGCTTCGCGGATATTAGCCATTCATTCCAGTACGATTACATTTTTTGCTCGATTCATTGTTATTGACGTCATCAATTTTCAGAGATTCAAACATTTTTGAGCCGAAACCGGAGCCTGTTGACGACTACACATTCAACCAAAGATTGTACGTTGGAAAGAATATCCGAAACGGTACCGACGACGGGAAAATTGACTACTACGACGAGACAGCGGACTATCATAATTTTGATTTTCAATCAACCTCACACGATATGAAGTCAGCATCAACGGTAGCCCATCAGAAAAGCAATAAGGTAAATAGAAAAGATAACATTTTAATATTATTTAATTATTAGCAAAAATTAAATCAACCCTTACAAGAGAGACCATATAAATGTCCGCGAGATGATTGCGACCGTAGATTTTCGCGCAGCGACGAGCTAACTAGGCACATTCGTATACACACTGGACAGAAGCCTTTCCAGGTAATCTGCTAATGGAACTAAACGATGAGCAAATTTCTGATTTCAGTGCCGCATTTGTATGCGTGCATTTTCACGCTCGGACCATCTGACAACTCATGTCCGAACACACACAGGAGAAAAGCCATTCTCGTGCGAAATTTGTGGACGAAAGTTTGCTCGAAGTGACGAGCGAAAAAGACATACGAAAGTTCACAAGGCAGCGGTTGGATTGCCGAATAATATTTGATTTTTGATGACGCAATTTTTGCAGGGCCATGGAAAGATGAAAGCCCGACGACACGGACCCTACGACATGTGATTCATTCACTATCCCGGTTATGTACCCCATTTGTCACGATTTTGGATAGTATTTCTAATTTGGTCATTAAATATTTTTTTTGAACTTCTCAGTTATGTTAGGTCATAATAATTCGACACTCAGACGAAATGTTCTCACACCATGCCCGGATCTGTGCAACTCAAAGTCCCTAAACCTAGTCAAGAAATCCCTATCATAACCCTTCTCCCCAATCCCTCTCTCTCTTCACTAACGCTCAATCTGTTTCGATTCATATCCAGATGATTGTTTGTTAGTTTTCAACTGGTTAGAACTGATGTAGAATTTCAATTCATAATCAAAGATAATTCCAACATGTTCTCTATCATATTTAATTCCATTCCTCGTTTGCTATGCCATATTACCCTAGCACAATTCCAAATTATCCGAAATCAGTAATTTGTAGAAAAACCGCTGAATTAAAAAGAAAACCCCAGTAATTTATCCGCACATATTAAAAAAAACGTTTCACACTTTCCAGCCAATAATTTTTGTCTTGTTGATAATCTAGGCAATTCTGATCTATGCAACATTGTAATATTTCCACTGTTACTCAATTTATTTTGATTTCTGTTTCTTTTCATCAATTATTCTTATATGATGCCATCTAAAAAAACGATTCGGATTGAACTGACTTCAGCCACCTATAGAATGCAACTTTGTGATTTATTTATTGACGTGCTCTCGTCAATAAGCGGGAAACGAGATGAGTGTTTGCACGTGATATGAGCTCGTTGTAATTTCAAAATGATATTGAATTGCCGGAAATTGTCATGTCAAACACATTGGGCACCTTTGAATAATTCGTTTCAAAACAATCCCAAAATAGAATAAACGTGACAAGACAATTTAATTACCCGAAATCCATCACGAGACAAATAATTTTAGCATAGCTCGCTTCTTCAAACGCTTCGTTGAAAAATTTGTGGTACAATACGAAATAGTTCAAAAATTATCTATCTAGTCGATTAGGCTCAATTTACAAACCAGATATCTATTTGATACTTGATTAATAACGAAGGCTCTTAAATATTGAATCTGTCGAAATAAATATATCAAAAAAAGTCACACTAAACTTAATCCATAATTTGTTCAAATTACCATATAACTACGTTGGGAATTAATGGGATCGACATATGTATGTTGTTTGGACTCAGCAATATGCCATATCGAGAATACGCAGAAAGACATGATGCAGTCAATTACGGTTATCCTCAATATGGTGGTTTCTAAATGTACAAATGATGAAATATACAGGAAACATGTGCACAGGAAACTTTTTCGGCTCGAAAAAGGTTCGCTGCGCATTCGTTATTACGTACAAATATAATAGTTTCCTGTGGAAAATTTGCCAAAAAAAGGATATTTTCTTCATGTAAAATGCAAATTTCATTTTTTCGATCCGCCTGCAGAACAGAATATTTGAAAGTCTGACTATTGCAAAATTAACAGATGGTTAATTAATAGTACTATTTTAAAATAATTATCTGCAGTAGATAAAATTAGGTAAATAACTTATTTTTCGTTTGTTTGAAATACAGTGAGATTATGCATGTACAATTGAACCCATGGTTTTATGAAGGTGTCGTTGACGAATTATGCTTGCACTTCTTCTTCATCATCAAGAATCGGTCGGTTATTGTCAACTTCGATTAGATATTCAATACGAAGGAAGAATGACGCCGACAAAAAACAACAAATGGTAAGAATCAACAGTTGCCAGTGCAGAAGAAGGTGGGCACTGTAGAAAAAGGAGATGCAAGCGGCCAATGACTGAAAAAAATATTTTAGTGTTAAACAAATCAAAATTGTGGAAAACCTGGAAGAACTTGTAGATTGCAAATGCGTAAATGCATTCATCCCTGTAAAGTTCTCCGAGAATCACATAAAGTTGAGTTTGCCAGCAAGCGTCTGCAATTCCCAGAAGGAAAGAGATAATGAGTGTCATCATAAGTCTGAAACAAACATAGAATATTTGTTACATTTGAAATAGCTCACGTCGGCTGAGCATAAGTTGGCATGTCAGTTTTATGAAGGGTAGAATCAAATGGAATGACCAAAAAGCATAGGAAAAAGGCGACGAGATGAGCAATCATTCCGAAAATGATGCAGGAAGCGCGATTCAATTTGAACATTCGAAGAGCTGGGCCGTTGAGGATTCCACCCAAAATTTGACTCGTTCCGATAGCAAATGCATTGTAAGCAATGATAAAGTCCGAATAGCTGCTTAAGGCGTTCGTGGAAGAGATGCAAGCAGTGTAGACACCTAAATCAGAGAATTTTAACATTTTTGATGCAATTCAGCATAATTTTTGTTATTAATTTGATCCAAGCACCTATGCATTTTTTGATTTTTAAATTTTTGTTGCGAATCTAATATATCTCTTATCTAATAACCAACATTCAAAAACCGTTCTTTATCACTTTTAATAGTTTTCGCGTCGCCTCCCACTTCCTGCTATTTTTCTTATCGCTATTCATTCATAAAATAAATGACGAATGTTTCGAACCTGTGTAGAACGTCATTTCAATTCCGGTGAACATGAATGTAACTGATAACATTAGCATTTCCTGTGTCGAAAGAAGGCGGAATGTGTGAACTGAAATGAAATGATGAATAGCGCTCTGTGTTGACATGAAAATACAAATTTGATCGCGAACTGGTTCGAGGGTATCGGCTCGGGATGTTGGAAAAACTTGAATCGGCTCATCATCCTCCGAGCGGACAGAAAGGATTGGCTGGGTGTCGTCGACGATGACGTCTTCCAATTGCTGTTCTACAAGAATTTCTAAAAACGTTTTTAAATTTCTTTAAATCATTATCACCATATTGTGGAGGATAGCTGGGCAAGAACACAATGCAAGCGATTCCAAGAAGAGTGACGACTGAGAAAACCGTATAAACCAACTTGAACGAATTGACAAAGTCTCTAAAGCATTTGTCAGTAATTGGGATTGTTTTCATGCCAAGCTCTTACCCATTTTGCAAAACATAGTAAAGGAAAACTCCGCCAGTAATCAGTGAGGATTGAAGCATTGCCCATAGAATCCCAGAGTTTCTACCAAGTTTTCCGTTGCGAGAAAAGTCCACAAGATAGCAACCATTTCCAGTCCAAAGCACTAAATAATTTTTCTATGAATTGTACATTGCATTTGAGTCTCTTACATGCAGCACCAAGTCCAAGAACAGCTGAACCAAAATAGAGCAGCATTGCGTTTAAATGGAAGAATGTGAGTTCGAAGAACAAATAACACAAGCCTCCGACAGCCTGAAAAATAACTTATTGGCTTAACTGAAATAAACCTTAATTACCTGTGACCATTTTGGTCTTAATTTCTTGACAACTGGTGGCACAAACAAGTTGAATATCGTGAAGGAGAAGTAAATTATGGACAAACTGCCAAAGTATATTCTATTTTATTCATTTAAAACCATTTCTACCTATAATATCCACTGTTTTCCGTAATTCCGCTTTCCGGATGAAGTTCTGCCATTTTGCGCAATACGGATATCTAAAAAACTGTTACTTTTAATTGATTTTCATTTTATTATTACCTCAATTAATCCTTGCGAATTAAACGCGGAAAAAATAAATGCAAAAGCCAATCCCATCTGGAGGATGATGGCCAAATCCCTCCTCATTTCTAAAACAAATTTTAAAAATTTCAGAAAATGATGAGAAGTGTGCAAAAATGCAGGCAAATAAATGCTGGAGTAAACGAAAAAAATGTGTCGCTCGGTCGCGCAACTGACACTTCGCGGCCCCGGCCAACGCCGCTCTCTTGTTTTGTCGTCGGCGTTCACACTAGGAGAACGTTTTTTTGTATCGCAAAACTTTGTGCAAACGGCCTCCAAACACATTGATTTTTCGCTCATTCATCAGATTTGGACCAGGAACTATTTTTTTCGCCCTCAATTTTCTTATATAGATTTGCTTCAATAAATTGGTTAATTATAAAAGGTAGTGGGAGAAGCAGAGTTTTCCCAAATCGTGTTCGATTTTTTACGTGATAATTTTAAAGAAAATTGGTAAGGCGAATGACATCGAACCGCCTGTGCGAGCATCTGTTATTTCAAAAACTTCAGCAGTGTGAAGGTCACGTTACGGCAATGATATGGACGATTAAAATAAACAAACAACTCAATATGCAAGGAAAATCGATAAAGTGAAAAAGGAATGAGTATTTTTTTTGAATATTCAATAATAAATTCTTTATGGTATTTCAAATCACTTCAAATATTCAAATTTTCCTTTATAAATATCAACAAATTTTGAAAAACGAGAAAAGTTTTTTGGCTTTCATGATTCGACCAATGCAAAAAATCATATCAATGTACATTTCGGGAATTGCTTTACTGAAAACGTCGTGAAAATGCCCTTGTAAGAAAATAAATATTTATTCCTAATTTTTTTTGTAATTATGTAATATTTTTTATATAGCAATTATTTTTCTTTGTATAAATTGTTTGCATTTTCTCCGTAATCTGAAAACCTATAATTTAAAAAAGCGGTTAATCATCGTTCAATGACTCAGCCAAGAGAAAACTGAAAAACATGATTTTAAATGTTAAATATGCCTCGCTTTCTATTTCCTTTCAATTTCGCATTGTTTCGATTTGTTTCATAAATTGAAGTTAATTTATGTAAAAGTTAAGGAATTATGCAAATTGTTGGCAAACAAAGAAATAGGACATCTGATCAAATTGCGACTATGATGCCGACTGACATATTGCTTTATTTGCTCATCTGAAAAAATGTATATAAACATTACATAATTAGAGTGACAGTATGCATATCTCAGAAGATGAACATTCAAAATTTTTCTTTAAACGACTATAAATATATTGAGAAAATAAATGGGGAAAAATATAACAATAAATAGGAGGAACGGAAATGTACTTAATCAACGGTTGTAGAATTTGGAGAGATGGAATTTGAGCTGTTTGTATCACTCGTCTTGTTCAAATCGAATGATTGAGATGGGAATGGCAAAATCCATGGGAATAAAGTAGGTCTCTGAAATCGTCTCATATTAATCATTTTACGAATAAATCTTAAGAACCTGTAATAAAGATTCCATTGAGAACGATGTCTTCGGAAGAGATGTTGGCGTTGTGAAAATGGGTGTATATGGGGTCGGACACTGGATTGGAACTGGTGATTTAACAGGCTGTGCCGCCCCTGTCTGCTAAAATGAATAACATTGTCCATCAAACATTTATTATCATTTTCTTACATTCTGCTTCATTTTCCGAATATTGGCAAAGTGTTCAATTGCATTCAATACATTTCCATTGCAAGCTAAAAAGTATATGTCAAGCTTGTAAATCTGTGCTTCGCTCCTACCTTCGAGGACCAGCTCAAGGACACTTTTTTCATGCTCGCTAAAGATTAATGTGAGGAGCTCAATCGCTGAGAAATTGCTTAAACGACAATCGTCATCTTCCCTCTTTTTTTTCATTGGACTTTCCACACTTGTTGGGGATGGCGAATTTTCGGCTGCTAAATAATAAAAGAAAAATAGAAAGCTGAACGAATACGTTCGAGATACTATTATATCCATCAACATCGTCTTCTTCTTCGTCTGCATTGGTGTTCCAGACAGGACCTTGCGGTAGTCTATCAATTGCTTGACCAGCGACCACTCTACAAGATCTCAAAATTCTTCAAAATCATCTAGATATATGAAATACCGTAATCCTAAGGCAATGGCATCCTCGGTTGCCTGTTTTCTCTTAAGAGCAACCTGTGCCGCCATGACTCGTTGTCTCTCGGCAATCAGATTACATTTCTCGCAAGCGCACTCCCTGTAACAAAAAGCATTGTACAGTAATCGAGGTAAATATCAATTCTCGAAATGCCCGATTGTGCTCGATTTTTCCCACCGGGCGCAAAACCACTTTAATCGAGGAATTGATGCGTGTTAGCACTTGATTGTATATTGTTTGTCCACCGGATTACCGTATTGGTTTTGAATAGAGCCCCAACAAAAATAGTGCGCAACACTATCCGCGAACGTGTTTAAGTACTATCATAATCGCATCATGCATTGTACATACTTCGAAGAAACAATCAACAGAATTGACAGCTAGCTGAGAAGATCGTGAATAGTTTGTTTGAGCGTGAATCTTGATACCTAACAGATGATTAAAGTTTATCACTTCTTATCATATACCTCGCATTTTGTGTAGATTTTAAAACAAAGAAGGTGAGTTAATTAATTACACAAGTTCAAATTAGCCAGAGTGAAGAGAAAGAACTCAAAAATAATTTGATGAAGTTATAAGAATTAAAACAATTTAATAGGGATAGCGAAAAAAGTATACGACTACGAAACCCACCACCCTTGATTTTTTGAAGTGTCTTTTCAAGAATTAAGAATTTCAAGAATTAGGGGTCTTTTCAAGAATTAATCTGACGAAAAGTGAAAAAAATTAAGGGTTGAATTTGACAAATCCTAAAATTTTAAAACACCGTCATTTCTGATTTGTTTCGTATATACATATGTATGTATCATTTGATACTCAATCATTGTATAAAACTTGTAAGTATTGGCAAAGGTATTGGAATTGAGAAAAGCTATGTTAATATTGAAAATAATGTTTTCTTTATCGACTGACATAACATCAATGCGATCTTCAGTTTTAAAATTCACATGATATAAGGATTATGAGTGTATTCAAACATTTCGCGCGTTTTTTATGACTTAAACATACTTGTATTTACAGTGACGCTTGTGTCCCTTAAGCCAGCTTACCAATCCATGATTTCGACATCTGAAACGATGAAAAAATCGTGTATTATTAGAAATGCGAGAAGATTGGCAAGACTTACCTTGCACATTTTGGTTTGCGCTCTCTCTCGATCCTACCATTCGCGAACATTTGGAAGTTGCCCAACATCATAACAAATCTAAGCAGTCGGGATTAAAACAATTGAATAGTGATACTGAACGCTAATCTCCGAATAGCTAGACTGTTACAGTGAAGCGCTCAATGGGAAATGGATGGGCGGAGTCATGAGCTGGTATTGGTCGGAGCTCCGTCGGATGATGATGAAGAGGCGGAGGGCGAGACTGCGAACAATATGGTGAGCAGAAGAGTCACAATATGGTGGTGGCATTGTTAATTTAGATGAATGATTTGTTTATTTTGGGATTTCTCACCGGAAATTGTCACATAATTTGTAAATACATATCGAATAGGAGAAATGCGAGACTATTTCCATATTTCAAAGGAAAAAAGGCCACATGGTGGAATTTGTGATGAGCACAATATGAGCCGATGAAAACTTAATTGATGGCAGGAAATTGAAGAAAATGAATCTTTGAAAATGGAAAAAAGAACTTTTGAAGCAAAGGAATATTGATATTTGAAAAAGCAATTGAAATATCAGAGTCGACTTCGAAGAATCACACTGACATTGAAATATTGAAGTCTGATCGGTTACTGTATACACAATCACGATATGTATGCTTTCCCACAGCAAAAAGGGTGTCGGCGGTGCTCTTGAGAGAAACGAGCCTCAACTATTCGCGGCTTATTCTCATGCCAGCCGATACAAACAAAGGTGTCCAAATAAGGATTAACATAAAATTGACGTTTTTCAAGCATTTATAGTGAGAAAATGTTTCACGAAGTTGCATTCTCTATTTGACAATTTTATCAAACCTAGGATAATATTGATAAAAAAGACTTTGAGTTGTTTTTACATTAAACTGCCATATGAATGAAATGGCACGAATTGAGAGAGTTCATGTTATTTTACCTTTTTTTTTTGTTGTCATGCTGAAAACCTAATAATTCATACATGTAATTAGGGGAAAACATATTTTTCCTGTGGCTTGTTGTCGATGGTCATCACATTTTCGCACATTCTCCTGCTCGGCCGTTGCCGATCATCGACATCTGCTCACAATATTGTTTTTGTTTATTTATTTCGGTATACAAATGTCGGAAGATGGCCAACTTCAACAGTTTATCTCGTCAGCAATTTTTTAATTTCGGATTCTCAAGGATATTAACAATACAAAAAATGTGCTATAACAAAATTTGATGAAATTCACTAGAGAGTTTCTAGGATATATGTATAAACAAAACTAAGTACAAAAAAATTGGTTAACCTATTTGGATAACCAGTATAAACAAAAAACTTATATTTTCCAAAAATTGTTAGCAGAGAATGCGCAACTCTTTAATCTGGTAATTCGCGCAAACCTGGTTTTAAAGTATACTTTGCTAAGAATCCTCATTTGTCGTATAATAGTATTGCGATTTATTTGTCCATGTAGTTTCTATAGAGATGATGCCAAATGATTTTATTGCTTTCTTGCAGAAGAGCAAAGATTATGATTTTTCAAAGATCTCACCTTGGCGTCCTTAAAGCAAAAACGACGAGAAGAATGTGTTTCAAATAGTTTTAAAAAGTTTAAATTCATCTAGTATATAGCTTCTCTCAATAATTTGTGCATGTCTCTTATTTTGTTAAAAACTGAAAATAAGCAGAATCAGTGATCTACATTAAAAATGTCTCAAACTTCTGTCAGACAAAATTTAAAACACTATAATACTATAGTTTGGATATAAACAGTTCGCCACATTTTCTGAAAAAGACGGAATCGGAAGTAAATTAGAAAATTTGTGAATAAACATATCAACATTGCGAATATGAAAAGTTGTTCTTATTTATCACATATCTCGATTATTTAGGAAAATGTCAATAAAGCCATAACCAATTATTTATGGACATTTATCGTTATTTTAAATATTTGGTGAAATTTCAAGAATCCCACTTTTTCAATAATGATTTTGAAAATCTTTAATTGTCAGGAATCCAAAATGTTCGCCAATATGAAGTTTCCTGCAAGCAAGAGGCCAATAGCTACCGTTTCCTAATTTTGTTATTGTTGCAATTTCCAGATTCCGGTGTGAAAAATTGAAGTGAAAACATCGTCAAGTGTCACTTCAACTGCGATTGTACGGTGCGATGAGAAGGTTCACCCGTGTAATTGGATGTAATTGGGTCCGTTGCAGATTCAACTAACCTTGAATAACAAACTCCTGCCGAAACCTCAATGAATGCCCTAAACCCGACGGAACCGGCCCCCTTCATTACTCCTCGTGTAATTAGGCCACCATATTGTGCTACAGTACATCCCTACCCTTTTTTGTTTGACTTTTTTTTTGAAACCCAAACCGATATAAATTGCTATAAAACGAGATACACTGTAAATTGTCGATTTTATTTGAAAGCGAGGGGATTTGCTTCGTTTTCATTGAATATGCTTATTTTTATGTTTGTTTTCATACTGCATACGCATTTCTCTCATCTGTCAATTCGACCAAAACTGTGTCCAATACCCGATTTTGAAGTGCACTTTAATATGGAGTCAAGAGTTTTTGACTAGTTACCATTCCTTATTATATCATAATAATGCGTCTTATGAGTTTTTTTTTTGGATTTTTCCTTTCGACAAAAAATAAAAAAATTTACCTCTTCAATTTTCGAAATAAATGGATTGAACCCTAGCATTTTTTCTAGTGTGAATAATTTATTCCTTACTCATTTTTACGTTTTTCCGGAAAACGCAGTTTTTTTTATAAAATGTTCTATCGAATCCATTAAAGAGAGTAAATGAAAGAGAGGTTCAATAGGAAAAAAGGAATCAAAGAGAAGGACAATCTAACCTACTATTAGGGTTAATGCATTAATAGCATAAAACACCCTTCTACCTATCATTTATTCCGTTTTTGTTCCAGTGATGGATTGAGAAAAATTGCCTTTCGAAAACTTACTTTAAATAATTACCCATTTTCAGAATAGAATTGTTATTTTAAATGATTAAATTACCACAACAAATTTTATCTGCCATTGTAACTACTGGTTCGTCATACAAAAAGCAGATAAAATTGGAATTCGGAGTTAAGTTACATTCGTATTTTTTACCTATGTCAAAATGTTTTTTTTACGAATTACGCCACTCAAAAAAAAAATGCCGTTTTCTACATTCATTAATCCACTTGTTACCCTTTTCGGCATTCATTTTTTGTTTCCATTCTTCCTTTATTTATTCGTTTGGATAGGCTTTCCATTGCCTTTAATCCTTGTTGAAATTTGAACTACGTTTTTTTTGAGTACTTTCAACAAAAGTGCGTACACCAAAGCATGTAGCCATCGATTCTTTTCAATTCCTTCGTGGTCGATATAAATGGTTGGTGTTTGTATCCATTTCGATCTTCACTTATTTTCTCGCTTCAAAATTTTTCGAAGTTTAACGGCGATTCCGAATAATGTTGACATTGAGCACGTTCGCCCCCGGCTGACCCAACTGTCACCTCCTTTTCGCGCACTCGCTGACGAAAAAGAGCACATATACAAACAAAAATACAGTGAGGAGGAGAAGATGAATTGCTACGCTACGCGCACACGGTGGCTACTCGGCTGCTTCTAGTACCACCATTTCACGCAATTTTGTTTCCGTTTTCAGGAAAAAAAACGCTTGTTTCTCGAAATTTCCGAGGATCAGAAACCTGTTTAACGCACCACGCCTCTTCGAATAATTATCTTCATTTAAAATTCTCCCGTTTAATCCCATAAGTGTCTTGTTCAGCCTCCGTTGTCACAAATTAAACTAAATGCTATTTCAGATGTCGCCAATCAACCGTGTATATCTTATCATTCTCCTAAATCTATATTGTAAGTGATCAATTCATTTTCATATTTTAATATGGTTTTAGTTGCTAAATGTCAAGATATTCGCTGCTACGCTTGCACAACCATTGATGCAAATGCAATGTTAAGCGAAATATCGGACCCAAATTGGCTACGGTGGCTCGAAAATGTTCGATATGTTCCATTCAGTCAGCAATGCGCCGACTACTTTGAGGTTAGCCATCAAAATACTTCGTTTACTTGCATTCAAAATTTACCTAATTTTGAATTTAAATAAAATTAACCTAATTGCAAGTAATTTTTTATCGTGAGGTCATTTATAGTTCAATTTTTTAGTTCAAAAATTATTTTTAGTTCTTGTTTATAATTCAAAAAATAATTTAAAATCTGCCGTCTCTCCAAACTATCATCTAGGTTGATCTTGCTCTGCGTGATGGAGTCAAAAGTACCGAGTGTTCGAATGGCGTATGCATGAAAATGATATTCCAAGAAAGGAATGGTAAGATTTACATAATGTTATAATTATGTGAATCTATCTCTTTCAAATTAGGTGTCAGCCATGTGTGGCGTAACTGCATTCCAAATGCCAAAGAACAAATTCGATCCGACTGCACGAAAATTACCAGCGGTGAAGGTTAGTTTTTTTCTATCTTTGAATCTGTTTGCCGATTCAGTTGTTGACACAGTTTGCAAAAAAGATTAGCGATTACGGTCGTAGATGTTTTATATGGAAACATTGCGATTTCTTTTGTTTCAATTCTTATTGTTTCAGGAGATTTGGAAGTGTGCACATGCGATGGCAATCTTTGCAACATTTCTAAACCCTTCGGATTCATCCTAACAATAATTCCCGTGATTTTTTATATGATATTCTAATTCGGTGAGATTCTCTAATTCTCAAAAGCCAAAGAATCTCAGGTTTCCACAACAATTCCTTGTGAAAATCTTTCATCTCACGTGTATTTTTTTTTATAAATATGTAGTGCTTACATATAAAGGCAAGATTATTTGAGAGGGATGCAGAACAAAGCAGATAATGAACAAAGACATAACATTATGACTAAATGCTTATGAGGTGTTTTGAGATGGGGAGAAATAGTAACTAGTTCAGATGTATGGTGTTCTCTGATCATCGAATGTATTTCATGAATCCTCTTGCCGGGCAGAAGTCGACACATTGGCATTTGCGAATAATGTTCACAATGGAAACCTTGCTAAAAATCGAATACTAAATTAAATTTTTGCTATAAGCATATCTAAACCTTGTTCCATCCTTACAAGTCATTTTCACTCTTCTCTTCTTCGTCTTCACAGCGTGACAACATTCCTAAACGATTTTTGATAATTGAGAAATAAACCGAATATAATGAACCTCTCCATCTCCACAATATCCATTACATTCAGCATTTTTGATTTCTTCCACAGATCGGCAGTCTCCCTCGATATGATACTTTCTGAATTTGTCTTTGTTGCAAGTGATTTCTCCTGAAATTGTCATAACATTATAAATGATATTAAAACAAAAATGTACTCTCTGTGCAGAAGGCACCCGAGTATCCAATATTACAACGGCAAATGTAACCATTTTGAGATGTCGAGTTACTCTCACAAATTCCATGTCCACAGTCGATACCTTCAATAACACAATGCAATAATTGTGAGGTTATTTGTTTACCTGCACACAGGTCTACTACTCCTGAGCATCCTTCATCTGTTTTCATATTTTCAATAGCACTCTTGAAATCGATCAAGTTGGAATTCACAGTAACATTACTGATACATCCTTTAAGACTATGTCCTTCACGAATTTGGAATGTCTTCAAGGCTTTCTTAATCAGCTCATCAGGCATTCCTCCCATATACAAAAGTTTTTTCGAGTCAATCGCCATTTTGCTAATCTTTCCATCGTTTTCAATACTTTGTGGCGGATTCTTGTCAACCTCCAAATTGCATTTCTTTCCTTCCATTGATATTCTAATAGTGTGCGGGAGACCATCATTAACTTAAATCCTTTTATTGCTGCAGCGATGAAAAATATACGAATACCTGTTACGTAACTATACATATGACTTGCTGGATAGTTTCCAATGTAATACGCAACTTTAATACGACCATCGAACAGCTCAGCAGAAATGAAGTGCTCATCGCCATAGTAGAGCAAGATACCAGATCTGAAAACATTTGAAATAATAGTGTACGGTGGAAAATTGATGAAAAATGGATGAAATGGATGAAATGAGCCCTGTGGTAGATCAGTTTTATCCACTTTTGCTCAGTATTTCATAAATTTCTCATATGTTTTTTTAATTGGACGAAAAAGCAGATGAAAATTGTGGATAAACTGTTGTCTGCTACATATCCCCTTTTCATCAATTTTCCAACATGCAGTAAAAACAAATTGGTGACTCTAGTTACCGATTAGTTGTCCGCAGAACAAAAGTGATGGTTCCATCGGTTTCCCAAGGCTCCAAGGCAACATAAGCACCATGTCTATTGAATCCAATTGAGAGCTGTCTGTCACAAGTAGTTCCAGCAAATCCCTCGTGACATTTGCATTCGTATTCATTTGATTCTTCGTTCAAATGACAGTAGCCCTGAGCATCAGAATTTTATCGAAAACGTGATAAAGTCATAAAATACTTTTCCGCATGAATTGCTTTGACACTGCGCTGTATTTTGATAAAGCATATTGCTGATTGGTGGAATGTCGCAGAATTGTCCAGTGAAGCCCATAACGCATTGGCAAGAGTATGTTGTGATTCCATCCTGAAGAAGAACAAAACACATTCCTTCAGAAAAAAAAAATTATTGAATAATTACCACACAGATTCCTCCATTCCTACAACGATGATCATTACAATCATCGATGTTCTCCTCGCAGTTCTTTCCACGGAATCCGGGAAGGCATGTACAACTGAACATTCTAATTTCCGAAACAAAATTATTTTAAAGTGTTACTTGTAGCCATTTTCGACTTTCATGCATTTTGAGTTGTTCTCGCAAGGATTCAAACCCTTACTGCAATATTCCAATTTGTTTTCGCAGAACTTTCCGGAATATTCCTTTGGGCATTGACAGCGATATGAGTTGATCTTAAAAAAATGTAGCGGTGGTTTATTTTTTAGTTGAAGTTGATCTACCATATCAACGCATTTCGCTCCATTTTGGCACTTATTGTTCAAGCAGTCATCAATATTCGTCTCACAATATGCTCCTTTAAAGCCTTTTGCACAGATACATTCAAATCGACCAGCTTGAATAACCTGATATATTATTTTTATAAATATGTAAAAGTATACATAAGGGTGGCATTACCTTGCAAGTTGCATTGTTTCTGCAAGGATGACCATAACATGCATCAATTTCATGTTCGCAGTTCTTTCCGTGGAATCCTGCTCGGCACTGACATTTATAGTCCTTTCCACTGATTGGCTCACAAGTAGCATCATTCTTACAAGGGGAATCCAAACAGGAATTGCATTTTGAAGCCACCTTGTTGGGAATAGGAGTGGAGCATCTAAAGTTTAGTTATTGGCCACTCAGGACATTTTCTAAACATACACGAATTGGGAAGGAAGAGCTGTGAGGAGCAGCTGATGAGCAACATTACTCGGAGCATCGCATCTTGCAATTCCAGCTTCTACAAACTTTGACTTTATCCATTTTGAGAACCATGCCATTCGGCAATCGCAATACAGAGCATTGCTTCCAACAGCTCTGAAAAATATGAATTGAAGTTAAGAATATATCTTGAAAATTAACATGTGAGTTATATTGCTTAAACTTTCGAAAGCGGATTCTGGAAGAACAGAGATATCATTTCCGTGAAGAGACAAAATTCGGAGAGATTGAAGTCCGGAAAATGCTTGAGGTTGAAGGCACTGAATTTAAAAATTTGATGAACATATAACAATAAGTGTTACCCGAAGCTTATTGTAGGAAATGATAAGAGTTGAAAGTCGAGTTAAGTTTGAGAATGTGTTGTTTTCAATAGAAACTATTTGATTGTGAGAAAGATCTCTAAATTTTGCAAAAATTAACATTTTAAATGCAATAACAAACAAACAATTTGACAAGATTACTCAATCGGCTGATTTGATGAATTGGAATATCTTGAATTTTGTTCGAATCCAAGAACAATTCAATTGTATCTGATGGGATTCCGGCAGGGAACTCAGTGAGATCCTTATTCGAACAACGCACTACATTGTCGAGACAAGTGCAACCAATAGGACAGTAATCTCCGCTATCCGAGCACATCTCGGTTGACTGCTCTAAACCATGTTTTATCATGACGACGCAAAATGTATCAGCGCAATAAAAATCTTACCAGTGCACTGAAGATCTTCCAAAGACAAATCAGAGTATGGGACTCCAGCTTTTGAATCCGGATGCGAGCATAAATGGATATCAATGCTTCTTGATCTGTTAAACTGTAGCCATTCAACCAAAGACGAGATACGACAGTCACAAGGAATATCATTTCCAGATAGTTGTCTAAATATTATTAAACGTAATTGATCAGTCATTATTTGCCTCCTCACATTGTTCGTAACGCATCGAGCCCTTCAAACGCTTTTGATGTCAAACACTGTATATTATTTTGGGCAAGGTTTCTGAAAGGTTAAATAATCAATGACGGCAAAACGAACGAAATGAATCAGCTCGAAAACAAAGAAAACCGCCACAACATACAGAAAACGAAGATTGGTCAGGTTTGCAAGTGTAAATGTGTTGATACAAGTGAGCAAATTATCACGCACCACACTGAAACCAAAAATGAAACCGAGGTCACACATCACGGAATAAATAATTTAAAGCGTAGGTGTCAGTATAGACTTACAGTGATTCAATGGGTGATGATCTACCCAAAAACGAGCTAGAGAAATGGCGCAACTTGTTATTTGCCAAATTTCTTCAAATTTTCATTTTTTGGTTTCTATTTATTAATTTTATTGCTTACAGATCCTTCAATTGTTTCAAATTTGCAAAACTTCCATCTTCGATCGAAGCGATTTGGTTATGAGAAAGATCCAATTTCTGGAGATTTGTAAGTAAATGAATGTTCGAGGCCATTGAAATCTTGCGAATCCGATTTTTGCTCAAAATCAGATGAGTTGCGTAATGTGGAATATTGATAGGAATCGTTTCAAGTCCCTTGTCACTGCAAAATGTATTGTCTCTTTAAAACATTCACCCCTCTCTTTCATTTTCTCGTGATAACATTGCGGGCGATGAAATAATTAAAGTGTTTCCTCCCGCTATCTTCATTTGTGAGTGTTGGCTGAGATCCAACATAAACTCCATTAATCAAAGCGCTTTGACGAAAAGCCGCGGACCACTAGCAAAGCAAATGAAATGAGGCCCATTATCGCAGGTAAATGAACTATCCGAACAAGAACGCACGCGACGCGCCTGCTGGCCGCTTTCTCATCGTTCGCCTCTCAATCGCCGCACTATCAATCCCAATAAACATACTGATGTTATAGGCGATTCAAGAAACTCATTACGATTAGTTTATTGAAGATGACAAACATTGCAATGGGCGTTTGTCATTCTTTTGAACATGTTAGAATTGAAACTACCTGCACTCGATGGTCGTTCCGTGGCACATGCATTGTGAAGGGCAATTGAAATCAATGAAGCATTGATCGGCTTTATGGGTTATAAAAACCTCAGAACCTGTAGAATAATTAAATTGTCTTGTTTGCGGTTGAATTTTCGATATAACGAGTTCCATAATCAATTCCAAGGTTGAAGCTAGATTTGAATAAAAAACGTACCCTTGCATCTAAATTTGCTCAATGGAAGAGTAGCGAACTTCTTTCTAGCTAGTCTTCGTGGTCCTTCACACCTCGCCCCACTGGTTTCCACATTTTTTTCCTGATTCCATCTAGCCAGCCATTCCTGAATAATTGCCATTGCGTTCTATTCTTTTTATGGTCATAATTCTCTACCAGATTGCAATCACAGATCAGTGGATTCTTTGCCAAATGCAAAGTGGTTAATCTTGTTAAATTTTTGAAAGTATCTTCACTAATTGATTTAATCTGATTGTCGTAGAGTGAAAGAAGGTTCAACTTTGGAACATAATCAAATGTTCCCTTTCGAATGCAGTGCAGTTGATTCGCGTTAAGAAGTAACAATTGTAATCCGGAAAGTCCCGAAAACGCGTCAACGGGCAATTCGGTGATGTTGTTTCCGTAGAGAACCCTGAAAAAAAACGACAACTTTGCGTAGTTTCAAAAAAAATCGAGGTTCCGCAAGTGTATTTGTGTAATTCGGGTTTTATTGCCTATTAGTTTTTCTTGGAGTCCGCTTGTCATTTGCACGTTTAGTGCGCCATTAAACAAAAAATTAAACTAACAAAGAATTCAAACTGTTCAGCCCTTCAAATGCTTTCGATGCAATTTCCGAGATTCGATTTCTACTGATGTCTCTGAAAAATATAACATAAATAATTTTAAAAAAAACGTATATCATACAATCTGATAAGCCGATTGAGATTTTTGAATGCATGAGGAGGGACATAGGAGATCAAGTTTTGCTCAAGTCTTCTGAAAAAAAAATAATCAAATAACAATAATTTCAATTCAAATCTCACAGCTCGGTGGTCAATGGTGGTAAATTAGATGGAACGTAGGTCAATCCACGATCTCGGCAATCTACTGTTGTCTCAGTGCAAGTACACGAAGCTGGACAAAGTCTTGTGTCTTTACATGACATTGTAGCCCGTTTTTCAATTCCCGAACATTTCATTAGCTAAAACATTGAAAATATTGTTCATTATAAATTTCATTCATACGCTTTCATCCACGTCTGCAATTGTAGTTCCATGAAGAACTGCCGGCTTCGCGCACTTGGCGTGACTAGCTGCTTGACCAGTCAGACTTCTCTTCATCCATTTTAATCGGCAATCGCATAACCATGGATTATCAGAAAGACGACTAAAATTGGTAAATTTTGAAAATAAGCTTCAGTTAATATCCGCATACAATTGTCGCAAATTTGGCATCAAATCAAGCTCTCCAATTGTGGTTAGATTGTTGCTGTTTAATGTCAAGATTTCCAAAGACGTCCATTGTGAAATGGTTGTTGTTTCCAGACTGAAACCCCTCAGAGGAATATTTTTGAGGAAAAGTTCTTGAAAAGTGCTCTTTCTTTTTTTTTACAAAGTTTGTTTGAAAAATGTATCGCATTTCAGCGGAATGTTCGCTCACCAAACGAGATTGTTTTTGTCGATTTGAAGATTTCGCATGTTCTTCGGACCACGTAGTTGATCATCCGTGATAACAGTAAGGAAGTTCTCGCTTAGGTCACTGAAAATGGGTAGACTAAATCAAACAAAAAATTTTGATTATTTTATTGGAACTTGTTGAGCAAATAAGATAGTCAAACGCTTATAAGATCGAAAAACTAATATTTCTCTGATTAGAAATAATAAAATCACATAGGATTAGCTCAAATTTTCGTAAACTTCATTGTTAAAAACTAATCAAATATCATTACAAAGAATTCGAAAATTTATTTTTCCTCATTTTTACTACTTTTCATTCTACATATATTGAGAATTTTCTCTCCAACTTGATTGTTCTTCCATTTACAATTTTTTCCCATTTCAAGCCATAGGAAAAATAACCCTTTGAAATCAAGCGCTTCTAAAATTACACTTTGCATGTCTCATATTTCGTTTGTAACATTTTTTTTTGGGAAAATGGAGCGAACAAACAACAGCAGTTAAACTCTCTAATTTGGCGTCAATCAAGTGAAGAACCCCTTTTTCTTTGTTAAATATCCGAAGCGCCACCAGACGAGCCGGCACATCTAATGAATGAACAATGATGTGAATATTTTCCGCGCATCGATAGCAAACATTTAAGTTTATGCCATTATAAATCGACAATCTCACGGTATATTATCAAACATGCAAATCCCTGCGCTCTTCATCTCATTAAAAATAAGCGCTGAAGGTCTCGGACCTCCCTCACTCATTCACTCAATTTGAAAATGGATGCATCAATTGTTTCAAGTGCATTTGAGTGAATGCGAATTGTGTTGCAATTTTTTCAAAGTAAAAAAGTTTGAAACTCCCTGGATAAACAACAAAAGAGCGCTTGTTCGATGTTTCTTATCTCGCACCTAACACATCATTCACTTGAAAGAAATTTATCGCAACAAATTGACAAATTGGTTAGGTGAAACGAAGCCAATTTGATGGATTACTTGAGCATTTCTTATGTGATAAAATTACTTTCTTTTTTCTTTTTTCACTAGTCCAATGGTATCTGTATTGGATGGGTAGCCACGAGCGCAATCATCAATTAGAATGGAATTTATCTGCCGAATACATCAAATTATTGCCACCTGAATGCACAGATCCGAACATTGGTTCCAATTTCATTTCATTCCGTCATCTTTATCAATAAATTCGCGATAATATTTCACAAGTTGTCACTCAGCGATGGAAATGATTTGAGTGGCATTCTGACATTTGCATATGTGAGCTGCCGTGCGGAGCAACATCAAGGTAGACCGTTGCGTGACTCATTGTGTAAAATTGATGATTGCCTTATAAGACGACAAATGAAACAAATAATTTCCGACGGAAATGTCAAGATGCAAAATATGATTGTTTTTTTTTTTTCAGTTTTACAACTTTTAATTAAATGGTCTTCCTTGGTAAACAAACATTGCAAAGCACCCAATTTTTTTGTCCGGTGGAATCTGACATGGCAATGTTGCATCTAATCGCTCATTAAAATCTATTCGGTTTGGAGCACATCAGATTAATTATTCAGAATCTGGTTCCGTTTAATCATTCGACTCCCTCAGCGACTGCCTCCAAAAATACGGCGCCACATTGGTTGGAGAAATGTGCTCAACGCAAAAAATCATGGAGATTGGCCAACTGGCTGCCAACCGCTTTTCTGCTCATCAGAGCATTCGATAAAAAGATGACACGCCACGATTTATTATCTACTATTGCGAGATGAGCTATTATATGAATGAGTGAATGAAAATGTTTGGCGTATCTCTTCTTGAAGGATAACATTCAGAAAATAATAGTAGTGAGAGAACGATTGGAATAGTAAAAAATGCGAAGATGAAATTGAGCGGTTAAGTCTTAAAAATAATAAGAAGCGGATGTCCTAATAATATCTTGTATAACATGTTTCTTCATCTTCCGATTCAAACTTCCACAATAGATGAAGACCTTGAACTATTAAGAACTGTTGGATGTCTATTGTTTCTAGTAAATCACTTAACGATTCGACAACTACCTTTCCCGTCCGTATTACTACAATAGGCAATGGGACTCTCTATTTGTATCGGCCATTTATCGGCTTACTGTTGCATTTTGCACACACACACACACACTAGGCCGCACGAGCGAGCGCGCGCGAATTCTAATGAGGGCCATCTTGTTTCCTAATTTATGACAGTGTACTGTCAAACCAACTCGATAATAAACAAAATGGAGAAGATATTTCACGCCTCGTTTACATAAAGTCATATCAATAACGATATTCAGCTCAACAACTCACAGGCGATGCAAAAGACGGTTATGTTTAAAAATGTCATCAGGAAGCAAGCGGATTTTATTGCGGTTCAAGCGCCTGAACAAATGACGATATAGTTAATGGATTATCGGGTAGAAACCCACAGTCTTTCCAATGATTCTAAATGGTCGAAAGCGTGTTCCTCGATCGCATGAATATGGTTGTCCATCAATTGTCTGCAAGTACCATTTTCAATAGTCTCCATGCATCAGTGCTTCAGCATTTGTTATTGGTAACCTTTCGCGTTTAATTCAACGCGTTTTGGCTGCACGCTGTTGAAAAAAATAAAGTAAATAAAGACAAACACTAACAAGATTTTAAGATGGCGCAGATGATCCAAATCTCCGTTGCGAATAATTGTTATTCGGTTTTCTTGTAAATCCCTAAACAAAACAAACATTAGGTTTAATAGAATTCAACTTTTATTTAGGTTACATACAATCTGTGAGTATCGGATGGGATGCCTTCAGGGATCTTTGTTAGCATTTTCCCTGTACAGATAACCGTACCAGATGAACATGAGCATTGTGATGGGCATCCGGTTGCAATAGGCAGTAATAAAACCGCCAATAACAACCGAATCATAGTTTTGGTGACTTATGATTCAGAGCCTAAACAAAAATTGATGATGAATAATGCGCGGTCGAAATGGTAAAGCCCAAGACGTTTAAAATCAACAACGATGTGCGAGAAAACAGTCGCCGAATAATATTCAAAGCGCCGCCACAAACATGCGATGATGAGAAACGGAAAACGGAAAGACGAACAGACGAAGGTTCGGAGGACGCATTTCTGGCACCGCCCCTTTGTTACCAGCCGAGTGGGATGACAATGAGTGAATCGGAAAACGGGGGAAAGTGCGGCAAATGGGCGACGGGGAGAAGAAGAAAAAACGTCTGGAAAAAATTAGAGATCAGATCACCTAGAGAAAAATGCGAGTTTTTCAAAGATGATATATATATATATTTTTTTATTGTTTGTTTACCAAGTTGATCGTAAAAAATATTGTTATACGCTGAAATCGAGAACAAGTGTTAGATTACCATGCTAATTACGGCATTTGATATTTAAATGACTTAAAATGGAAAAAATATCTATCCCAATTTTTATTCCAGGCAGCTCAATTAATTTGGTGGAAATGCGACACATTTTTGACTTGGTTCGGTTTCTTTGACGGCGGTGCGCGTATCCACATGTTGAAGCAATAATTAACCGATCGAGTTGACTAGTTGACAGGCGAAATGCACTAAACTCGCAACACACAAGTATCGATTTTATTGGGTTAAGATAAATGGGTAAAAAAAAAGTCAATCAATTGTTAGAAGGATCCAGAAGCAAGCTTCTTGGCCTTTTCAGCCTTCTTCTTTTTGTACAAGGAATAGTTGTGCTCGGCGCTCATGTAAGCAGTCTCGAGGAAAAGGAATACAAATTCGCAGCAGGTTAAAAATGAAATGCCACACCAAAGTCCGAGTTGTCCACCAAAATCGGCAAGCAAGTTGACAAACTGAAAAAAAATGTGGCCAAAGAAACATCCATTTTCGATTGTTTTATTATTCCTGATGTATTCTCAGAAATAATATCCGCCAAAAACTTTTTCCGCATTTCGTTGTTCTTTTTTTTTAAACATAGCACTTACACCATAAGCTTCGGATTCGGTGAGCATTTCGAAATTGAGCTGTTCGTAGAAGACTTCTACCATTGCGCCGTTTTCCCTGAATCATCATTTTCTATTGTTTATAAACATATTATGCGAATATTTGAGATTTCATAAATAAACACTGACTTGTAATGCTTGTTGCACTCGACGGCTGTACCGTTGCAAGAACCATGTTGGATTTGAAGCGAAAGTGATGGCCATTTAGCAGGTGAATACGTTACAGAATAGATTGATTGACGGCAAGGTTGTTGGCAACTGCAAAATAGTTAATCATCATTTCATGAGATAATAAGGTACATACCGGCATCTGAATGAACCATGCAAACCTCCTAATTCATTCATCCTCGCATCAAGACATTTTCCTGCAATGCATATTTTAAATTAGTAGTATATTATCAATAATTCAACATACTTGCAACTGGATCTGCGGCATCGCAATGTCGGGCGTTTTCAGGAACGGGGAAGCGCGGATCTCCGCATCTACACTCTTTAAGAACAAGCTGCTGGAAGCATGAACGATAACATCCCTGAAAATGATAAATTATTGTTTTTTTTTAATTGAAACTCTTTGCTGACCTCCACAGAATATTCATAATTCTTATAAATGTAGTCGGAAGTTTTTCCATCAGGAACGCAATCTCCATATGGTGCCGGAAGACGAGACATTTTTCTCTAGAATATGAACATTTAAAACAAAGATTTATTAAAAGATTCATACCAATCTTAATCCAAATGAAGAAACGTATCCGGTTGGTGCTGAATATCCAAATGTGTCCGGAAAAGGGAAATCTTCTTTGTCGTGGATTGTCAAACGGACTCCAGTAGCTTCAGTCGTTGGCATGTAATCAGAAGCATTGACATATACAAGCATACGCAAACCATACATGGGACCTACGAGCAACAAGTATCACATAAAAATTACAAAGTTATTTGCATTTAAACCTGCGCGAATACTAGTCAAATTAACAGTTCGATTATGGTTAAAAGTGAAACAGGAGCCAAAAACAGGATCAATATGTGTTAAAAAATCTCTGAAAATTTCTTTGTAATATCTTCAAAATTAGGTTCACAAACGCTTCAATGTCACAAGCTTTTCCGTTAAATGAGCATTTATGCACTAGTTCATGCTTAGTAGTACTCAGCTTTTCACGATCTTCCATTGATAATGTGGCCATAGCAAACATAATATTTTCCTTAGCTTTGGTCACAATAGCAACTTCATCGGTCATTCCCTATACGTGTTATTTAAAAATATATATATATAGTATTCCAAAGTACCGAAAAACCCATAGCTTCTATGAAATTCGGATCTTCCGTTGGTGTTCCTCCTTGAAGGTAAGTCCAAATCTCCAATGGAGGCGTTTTTCCATTGTAAGCTACGCAAAATCTTGACGGTGCACATAGGCATGGTGAGCGATGGCCTTTTGCTAAAATCGACAAAAACCATTTTATTGTCCATATATGGAAACTGTTGTACCTGTTTTATTATCTTTCGTACAAAACGCATGCTCATTGCATGTATCACATTCGGTAGTTTCCCACGTTCCATTCAAAAAACACGGCCACGCGTCGTGTGTCGAACGATCGAACGCGCAAATACAACGATCGTCGTAACCTGTTGGTTCGTCGTACTTTGTGCTACAACCATAACAATAAAAGCATATATAAAACTATACGGAAATACCGCTCTGATTGACACTCTTCCATCATACTTATAGCAGTAGTTGCTTCGGTATCTTCATAATGGTCGTAATATTCAACTCCATCCCATTCTTCTTCCCCATCTGCAAAATTGAAAACGGGTTTCTGTTTCTGAAATAATGAAATATCAACCATGAATGTTGAATGGCCTTCTCGTCGTTGTGGTTATTTCTTCTTTTTCTTCAGATTTTTCTTCCATTTCGCTAGAACCCTGATTACCACAAAGACATCGAGCATATCCCTGAATAAAAGTGTTGATCAGAAATCTTTTATGACGTGCACATACAGGTTCAAAAAATGCTCCTGCAAGGTCACGCTTTCCTCGTCGTCTTGGTTTTGGGGTAGTTCTTGGTTGTGCCGTGGTAGGGGGAGTGTTCGTCATCTCTTCAGCGCTTGATCCATCAGCCTTAACCCCAGCTTTCCCCATGGCCCCGTCAAATGCTGACAAAGTCCGCTTCACCAGGTCAACGCTTGTTGCCAAGCTTGCCTTATAAGGATTAAGGTTGCAAAGGGTAATGGCTGGGAATGGAGCAGTATCTATGATTTAAAAAAAATATTTATCAAAAATTAGCTTTGATTACCAAATTTGAGCTGAATATCAACAATTTTCTCGTTCCTGTTGTATTTGTCTAAAACTGATTGCGCATTCAAATAAAGCATAATCATACACCCAAGAAACAACATTATCCATACAGTTCTGAATTACAATAATTATTTTTTTAGAAAATGAAATTGTAACCGATAATAAATATTTGGAGCTTCTCCAATCATCGGAATTCCATGAGCAGAAGTCTTGTAGCAAAATTCTTTGAAGTGCCATGCTAGTCGTTTGTCATATGGCAGAAGTTTTGGGTCAAACTCTCCAGTAATTAGTTCACACTATTTAATAACACAAATTTCAAATTGATATTTAATAAGTTTCTTTTACCTGAACTTCAGAATCAGTTGAATTAAAACATTCTCCGTATCCATAATCTTCATAATATTCACGTTCTGTTACAAACTTTGTATCCTCTTTCAAATATGCGAGAGGATCTCCATAGACCTGTACAATGAGAAGACTAGTGTAAATGGATAGTATTTTTTCAACCTGCTTCATATACTCCGTGGGATCTCGGAGGTGTTCATAATTCTTTAAATTTTGTATCCAACTCATTTTCAATCTCGGAAAATTAAAGACATAGATTTATATTGATTCTAAATGAGATATATTAGGTGATAAAGAAATATTGTTAAAGCGAGTATTGATGAAAGAAACAAGCAAGAATGAAAGTTGGATGGCATTGGACTACTAGTCATTTGAAATGCATTGCACATTTCATGTGCCTCCGTTGTGTAGCTGATATGTTTGGCAAAAGAAAATAGATAAATACATATTAACTATGTTGACGTAGAAGAACTATATTATCACATTTTGTATGAATATTATAGTGCACCTGACGTTGTTCACGCCATGCTTCGTTCAAAAGCGTCGGTGGTGCTTTGAGTTGGAGCGGTGTATTTCGCGAAGTGACGACCCATACGTCGAATTATCTGTATTGTCAACCAATTAAATTTTTTTCAAAATAAAATTCTGACCATCAAATTTTGCTCTTTCTTGAAGAAATTGTATGTGAAAAAGACTCCAACAACGAAAGCAGTTGTAATGACAAATCCAAGAATTATAGGAAGTGTCAAGCTACTCTTCTTTTCAGTATTTTCTTCTTCAGCTTCAAGAGCGGCGATATGTTCAATAGTCTCAAATAGATTCGATTAGAGTTTTTTCATTTCATTTGAAAATCGTTACCGGATATGCAAAATATTCATTCAATTCCTTGGTGTCTAACTCGTGCAATGCTTCATGGAACTGTTGCGATGTAATTTCATAATCCTCGAATGCAAATATGATTTCGGTGATATTCTTATGTTTTGTTACACCAGCCACCTAAAGCCAAAAAATATTTGAAAATGTTTACTGGAGATTCTTCTACCTTAACAGGATACTCAGTATTTTCATCATCGCCCTCATTCGTGCTTCGTTTTACTCTATTGACACCAAATATTCTAGAATCTTGCTCAGCCAATGTTTCTCTGCGATGGCGTTTCTTGAGGCGAATTCGCGTATCTCTTGCAAGACGCCGAAGACTCATGGTAATATTTCTCGCAAATTCCGGAGAATTCACATCAACACCTTCTGGTACCCGCATTTTCAAAATAAGCATCTTCATGTCGCCCCTAAACACATTTAATTTTAATGAATGTACGATGAGACACTTACATATTGGGAATATTGGGGAAAGAGGGTGGCGTTGGTGTGTCATCTGTTGTGAACACTATAGAGCCATTCTCAGTAATCACTGGCGGCGTATTTCCAAGACTTGTACTAGTTTCTGAGTAAAAAGTTTGTTGTTGTCATTTGCACAAAAAAAATGTTCACCTGTCTGATCCGTGGCGCTTAGTGCAGGTGGAGTTGGAATATCCTCACCACCAATATTTTCAGAAGTCACCAAATCAACATGTCCAATCGTTGCAGTAATTGCGATTTCCGGAATTTCTGTTGTAGTACCTGCAAATTGTATTTGATTGTTGGTTAAAAGTGCTCTCATACGCTCTCCTGATTCTTCAGTGGAAAACCAGTGACCAATTACAAAATCATCTGAAAGAATTGATACAATTTTTTTTCTGAAATTGTAACAAACCAGTGGGTAATGGTGATGGGAAGGGCATTTGTTCTGTTGACGTCTCGTCACCAGATGATTCCGTAGTACTTTCCAATGGTAGATCTGACGGTTGCGGAATTTCCTGAGTAGTTCCACTATGCTCGTTTTCAGTTGTAGTTGAAGTTATAATGACTGAATGATCTGTTGACACAGAAGCAGTTTCTTCGGTAGTAACACCAAACGGCTCAAGAGTTGTGCCTTCTGTGCTCACATCCGATGATCCTCCAGTCCATTCATTAGGACCCATCGTGGTTTCATCAGTGACTGATGGTAGCAAAGTAGGGAACGTAGATGCCTCAGTAGTGGTAATGTCCGAGGCATCTGTTTTTAATTCAATCGGTAAAGTGTTAGTAGTTGATATTATTTCTGCACTACTTGTTTCTTCAGTTAATTCAGTAGTTGTTGTAAGCGCAGTCGGTAATGTTGAAACTTCAGTTAAAATCGTAGTAGTGACTTCCACAGATTGTGATGTTGCTTCAGGCGTAACATATCCAACAGTATTGACATCAATTGTGGGATAGGTTGGAATCAGAGTTGCAGTTGAACCTTCTGAATTTCCCCCAATCGTCTGATATGTAACAATGATATGATCAGGAGTGGTAGAGGGACCAGAAGTGAAACCAATTGGTGGCGTGATAGTTTGATTAACCGGATGTACCCCGCCACCACATCCATCGAGTGGCGATTGGGTTACTACGATTGGATCCGGATTAGGAAACTGAATCGGTTTTCCAGTAACATTTCCACCTGAAATTAATATGAAGAAAAATTGAGAAAAAACAAAGAAATTATGTGCATATTCATTGAGCCATGCAAAATAAACCCATGCAAAGTGAACCAGTGAAAAGAACACAACAACAAAAAAATCACGAAAATCTTCTCACACGAGCAAAGAATTTTGGGGGTCTGGAATTTTATTATTTGGTGGCTGCCCATGTTTGGTAGATTGTTTTAGAGAACTCATCCTTGAACCGATTTTATTTGCTGGTTTTCCGGTATTGGAAGTACTGAATACTGGAGTTGCCGAGCGTGATTGCGCGTTTCCAGATTGTGCTTCTCGATTGGTCACAGGCGTTTCAATGAGCGTTGTCTTAACAGGGCCGACTAACTTTTCATTTGTAATAGGAATTGTTGAATTATCATTAGCATCAACTTCTTGTCTGTGTTTATGGATAATCTTTGTAGTAATCTTGCGCTTGATATTGATGAGCCTAGTAACTGTGGTTCCATTTGGATAAGTGAACGTTTCTGTCTTCGTATCTCCATCATTGTCTTCATTGTTCTCTTCAGTATGCCACTCACGGATTTTGGTAAGTCGTTTTATTTCTTCGCGAAGTTTCTCCAGTTCTGTTAAAGTCGTTGTAGTTGGTGCTTGTGTAGTAGTTGTTCGCATTGTTGTGGTAGGGGTGGTAGTTGGTGGCAAAGTGGTAGTGGTGGTAGTTGGTGGCAAAGTGGTAGTGGTGGTAGTTGGTGGCAAAGTGGTAGTGGTGGTAGTTCGTGGCGGAGTGGAAGTGGTAGTTGGTGGCGGAGTTGTCGTTGTCGTCGTTGTCGTAGTCGTTGTCGTTGTTGGAGCTTCTGTCGTAGTATGGTTCACCAGAATTGAAGTGATATTCTTGAGGATATCGATGTCTTTAGTTTCAATAGTCTCGTCGACATTTGTTCGATTCTTCTTCGTATTCATCTTAGCTACATCTCCGGAAAATCCTTCCAAATCTTTCGGCAGTTCAATTTTCGGTCTGTTATATCTCCAGCAAATCCCTTCAAATCCTTTGGAAGCTCGATTTTAGGCTTTACGGACTCTTCTTCAGTGTCGTTTTTCCAATTGTTAATTATTGAAGTGATGTTCTTCAATATATCCAAATAGTCAATTCGAATGGTTTCATCAACATTGTGATGTTTGGCCTTGTTGGATTGTTTTTTGGCATTAAAATTAATTGTGTCTGTAATATTCTTCAACATTTCCGATTCTTCAATTCTGATCGTCTCCTCGTCACTGCCGTTCGTTTTCTTCTTGTTTGGAATATCTCCAGCAAACTCACTAAGATCATGAGGTAGCTTAATTCCTCCTGTCTTCTTCCCATTTTTGAATATTGATGTCAAATTCGTGTTGAGATCTTCTTCTGTCACAATAGTCGTGTCGTTCGAATTTACTCTTCCTTTCGATGTTGGCTTCAAGTCAGCAGCAAATCCCATTAAGTCTGGTGGAATCATTAGTCCTGGATGTACTGGTGGTGGAGGTGGAAGAAGTCCAATAGGTGGCGGTGGAGGTGGAAGAAAACCTCGTGGTGGTAGTGGCGGTGGTGGTGGTGGTGGAGGTGGTGGAGGAGGAGGAAGAAGAGGTGCATGTGCATGCGGGGGATGTAATCGATCCATGAACATTGTGTAATACGAAGCCACATACGGATGCTTTTCTTTACCTTGATACGGTCCAATAGTTAAATATCTATCTTCAGGCGGCATGAATGGTGGAATCAATGTGATCGATGGAGGCCCTTCACTAGCAGTTACCTGAAATTCTACAATGCAATTTGAACAAAGTATTTTTTTACTTCAACGCAAGCAGTGCCTGCTTCAACCAACAAATGAGGAACCCCTCCAAAAACTTGAATATCATGATGAGCAGCTGTTAAGCCAATCTGAAAATACGCAATAAATTTTGAAAATTATTAATGTCTACGTTTTGAACCGGGGTTTGCACCAATATTTCAGACTTCGATGTGTCTGCACGGACATGACCATTGTTCGCAAGATTGAGTAATGTAGCAAGTGAAGCCACGCGAATTGTTTCAGCGTGGAGTGGATTACCGCCTAACATCATCTGACCACCTCCGCGGTCAATTTGCATTCTAAGTTTCAATGGATACATATTTCTGTCATTCTACTAATTATTTTTACTTTGAAAATTCTTCAACGTGAACATTGACTCCTGGTGGTTGCACAACCACCGAAGTTTCCTCTTGTGCACACCTCACTATAATTTCTTCGCTTGTCAATTTAACCTAAAAACTATAAGTAAATTCGTCTTTTCTCCATAAATACATCATATGGAGTTATTAAATCTTTGGTTCTGAAGTTGATAACGTATTTGCTTGTATAGATGTTGACACTTGAGAAATCCGGATCTATTTGGATTATTTTATCTCCAAAGTCAATATAAACCATCGCTCCAATGAAACAGACTTCAATGCGATAAAGTGGAGCGATAACTAAAAAAAACAAGAAAAAATTAATTTTTTTTGTATCGAGACTAACTTCTTAACACTAATTCTCTTTCTCCCGTATCTGGATTGTTTTGGGCACTTAATGTGATAGACTTTTCCAAATATTTCTCCCAAGTCTCCGCTTCTACACCAATTCGACGGCCTCCTATTCCCTGACATCAAAATGATTTCTGGATTGATAACCAAAAAAATTGATATACTTGCACCCGAACTCCTTCATCGGTAACGGAAACATTAGCATTGTCGTACATTTGATGGTTCAGAAAGGTGTTGCCATCGGAAGTTCGATTTGTGGTCATAAAAAGCTTAAAAAAATGGAATCATCAAGAAGCATTCAAATATAGGTTACTTTGCTTTCCAAAGCTTTTCCATGAATAAATGCGCAGTTCAAAATATTCATAATAGATTGAGCAATTTCGGCAGTAGCGTTTACAAATGTGTCGTATGTATTGAATTGCACTTTAGATTTTGCCGACCAAATTGTTCCGTTGACATTTCTCAAAAAAAAAATGTTTGATAAAAACAAAAAATTCGAATAATACATACTTTTCCGATAATTCAATTCTTGAATCCGTCGAATCTACATTAATCAAATCGTCGAGAAAAACTTTCGAGTCAATTGAATGAACCTGAAGAGCATCAGACAATAACAGAGAACTTGGTGAATAATAAATTACTTGAATGTGCTGCGATGGCAGAATTTGTCGCCTTAATCGTCGCCTAACACTCGTCGAACTCCCAAGCTGTGCGAATAATAGAAGCACTATATAGTGCCGCATTCTGCAACGAATTATGCAAATATGCCAAAAACGTACAAACATGAGAAAAACAGAAACTGAAACGGGCAAGAGTTGAGGTATTAATGGATATGTGTACACTAATTTTCCTACTCGACGCCGAAATAATCGAAAGGCCGCCTATTTTAGTGGGCCGCAGCTATTTAATGTGGAGTTAGTCACTAGCCGTCTTTGAGTTTCACCTGCAGAAAGTAAAACTCACAATTTTCAGAAACGTGTGTCGTTTGCATTTTTTTTGCTAAATATAGAAAAATGAGAAAAGAAAAAAAGAGAAAAGAAGAGAAAAAAAGTGAATGAGAGCAAGATGTTGATTAGGTATTCAGCTCGCTTGAATTGATGAGCCTTCTTTATAAGGACATCATGCTGTCATGGTGATACCCTCACGACAAATTCTTAATCTTCAGAATTAAATTTATGATGGTACCGTTTCTTATTGCCATATATCAAACGCAAAATGAAGAAGTCTTGAAAAATGCCAAACTGAAGACAAATTTGAAAATTACTGTGGTTATATTGCGATTAACCTCAGATAATTCGGCGATTAGAGTTTTCAAAAAATGCGTTTAAAAATTGATTTCCTGGATCATTCGACGAATAGGTGTGGTATTTAGATGTTATTCTGGCCAATTTGTGCGTAAGTAGATATAAACTTGTATAATGATATCAGTAACATAAAAACCAGGAATTTCTGTTAACTTTGAACAGGTTTTAGTTTTTTTTAAACTTGGAGTGGGTGTTGAATTTGTTCTCCAAATGTGGAAATTTCTTTCTATCTCTTTCCGCAAAAGAACTCCATTTCTATTTCTTCTATTTTTTCTTTCTTCGCTTCCATAAACAAAAACCTCTTTCTATTTTTTGGTATCTTAAAAGCATGAAGTTTAAAATCTCAAATAAAAAAATGTGTTCTACCTCAAAAAAGTATGTTAGAAGCAAAAAAGAATTCCTCATGGAATTCTTGTTTCAAATTTATTGTGCTCTTCAAAAAAGAGAAAAGAAAAAGAGAAGAGGAAATAGGATGATTTAGGCGACTTGAAACTCGACATGTCCATTTTTGCATGCTTTTTTTTATCAGAAACATTTTTTTTTGAAGAAAAAGTATACTTTTTTGTTTTATAATATATACGAATAGTATAAAATAATGTAATAGCCGGATATTGAAAGAAACAAGCAATCTGCCAACAAAACGCTAATCCGTTTCGAGCAACAACCGCAACACAACAATGATGTGGGAATTTTCAACACCGAGTGACCAGTGCAAATGGCGTTTCTAATCTGCATTACTATGGCTACTCGGCAAGAGCGAGCTGAAAAGCCGCCGACATTGGATGGAGGTGGAGTGCAACGCGGTGATTAGATGATAATCCAATAGCGAATGTCAAAACGGAGCGCAACATATGATTAGGAGCGCGAACAACTGAGTACAAGTATATTATAAGTTGAAATGAAAAGAAATACGAAAACTACGAACTTGTTTATCAAAAATTTGGAAGTAAAGCTATCGCGGCCTTCCATTCTTATCAAATTTTCCAGATGTACAGGAAAAAACTTCCAAACAATGTTTCCTTTGTTGGCTGATTCCTGATCGAAAATCATTCAAATTATTCGGTTTTTATTTCAAATAATAATTTAATACAATTGAATTGAGCATCGAATACTGTAATAGTTGAGAAGATGTATGCAAATGTTTATAGACAGAATGAGTAGAGAAAAATCATTCCATAAAAAAAACGTCCTATACTATAAAAGTAATATGTATATTAATGTTATTAATATTGCACACTATTACATATTTGGTATAATAGAGCAATGAAAAAGATGTGTTGAACAATAATGACACACAACGCGTGTATCCCTGTTCGCGCGGACTATACCAGTTACTGCCATTCCTGTAAAATGGGAGAGAATTCGGTTGGCGGCAGGTGAGGGAGGTTGGCCGTTGGCGGTAACGGGTAGCGAAATCCAGAAACAAAAATGATGAGTGAAAACACGAAAAGCGAAAAGAGACACCAGATCACAGAAAATTGGCCGAGCCAATTTTAAATAGCGACAATTCGTGTTCGAACAAAAATAATGAAAAATCAACAATTCTTTAAAAAAAAGCAAGACAAACGTTGACAAGATATTGGTTATTTGCAACCGGTAATTTGAATGCACAGTTTTGATATAGATACAATAAGAAACATGCCTAAAAAGAGCTCGAAAAAAGTCTGCAACCCGCTGAAAAATTCAGAATGACTAAATATTTTGAGAAATATTCTCAATTCAAATGTTTTCAGCGGGCATTAGACCAAATCTCCATCAAGTTGGGAATAATGAATTGGTCCAGCTCGTACTCCAGAGTTTGGATGAATGAAAGTTGAGAGATGGTGCTGCGGACTATGATTGTTATTTATCGTTCCGCTATTTTGTCGTCTCGAAAGCGATCTGTCGGCGTAGATTGACGATTGCGGTGGCGGCGGTTCCTATAATTAGTGTGTTATTTTTCAGGAAGAGTCAAAATAAATCATTTCAATCACTTACCGGGTATGGCATATTTGTGTACGTACTGTTCCTTCCAAGAGTGCCATGCCGACTTGACGGATAATCTCGCGCTGAAAACAAAAACGAAAGTGATATGACAGTCAGTTTTGGGTCGTTCTTACGATCAAATTCGTATTCTACTAAGCAACTCCTCTCGTACATTGAGGGATCAATTGGTTGCATGTAACCATTCGGAGAAACTTCCTAAACAAAACAAAACAATGCTTATCAAATTGAGAGGACAGTTTAAACTTACAATCATTGTTCTAATTGAGTGATCGTCTTCACTCGCATCAGGCATATCATCGACATCAAGACGAGTACTTCCATCTTTTTGTATCATTGTGCCGTACATCTGAACTGGACGAACACCATCGCTATTGATAGCAGTGCGAACCATCTCAGTTTTTTCTGTAACATCAAAGGTCATCTTCAATGTTTTCGTTCTGCTTCTCCCACCTCTCAGCTTCTTCTTTCGGTTTCTATTACACAAGTAGCAAACCAATAGAACATTGGCTAAAGCGCACGCCACAATTATAATAAGTATAATTGGGAACAATTCGGGCCATTTATTCCTCTGCAAAAAGTTGTGTGTAAATCACTTTTAATACATCTTGTTGTCAAATTACTCTGTTGTGCACCATGGCAACATCAACGCCGTCTTCGTTTAACGTCGCGAGTGTCAATGGTGGTCGTGTCCAGTCCGACGAAAAACCGCGAGCATTAATTGCACGAATTTGGAATTCGTACACTTTTGCGGGGGCTAAGCCAGAGAGTCGCAGGTTCTGTAGAAAATTCAAGTAATTTGATAATGTGCTGTAATTCAATTCTTACCGTGTGAGTGGTGTTCACCAAATGAATTAATTCCTCATTATACTTTTGATATTTCACCTCAAAGATTTGATCCGATCCTCCGTCAAATCCGGGCTCCCAAGCAATCGAAATTGTGTTGGAAGTGGAATTGGTCATTTTCACGGAAACTGGGGTATCCGGAGGTGAAAGAGGGCCAATCTGAAATAAATGTTTCAAGAATGACCACGAAACATTAATAATCATACTGGGATAGCTGTTACATCAGATCCGAACATGTTTTGAGCAGCACATCTAATTTGTTTGTTATAGTCATCAGGTGCAAGATTTTTGATCCATAATGTACTCTGGAAAGATAGAAATCATTTGAAATAAAAAAAACACCAATTACCTCAAATGTGAAGTAATCCAATTGAACGGTAATCATAGAATATTTAGTACTGTTTCCCTTAATCACTTGACCTCCACGATCCCAAATAAACTCGGCAACAGGGACCGCCTGAGCTCTACATCGCGCACGCGCAACCCCTCCAAGAGAGCCGGCGGCTTTTGATAGCAAAGGAAGATGTAGAATTTTTGGAGCCGAATTGACAAGAACATAAGCTTTTCCTTCAGCGGCATATCCAATACCATTGTCAGCGCGGCAGATGTATTCACCGGAATCTTTTTGAGAAGCATTCAAACGGAGCACTGCGCGAGTATCGCCTCTGAAAAAATAGAGAATGAAAATTGAGCAAATGTGTCTAGAAATATATTACCTATGGACAGCTTCCAATTGATGCCCATGACGAAACCATTGAACCATGTTAGCTTTCTTGGGCTCTCCATCAGCTTCACATTCGAGAAGAACAGTGTCACCATCCGAAGCAATAATAGGAGAAGAAATGCTTGTAATCTTAAAACATAGAAATAAAACCAAAAAACTTCCATGCTTATACATACCCTTGCACTATATTCAACGGCTAATTTAATGGTAATATTGGTGCTCCCTACACTATTTGTAGCAATCATTGTGTATGTTCCAGCATCCGTGCTCTACAATTATTCTCGTAACAATTGACTAAATTGGCTCAAACTATACCTTGAGATTTTTACCAGACAATATTGCTCCTCTCGCAAATACTTTACCAATGGTGTGATCAAATGGTACACCATTCTTACGCCATTGCCATGAAGAAACTGGTGGGTTCCCTTTTACAGTAAGATTTTCGCGGAACGAATCTCCTTCGGCTACAATAATGGTGACTGGATTATCAACAATCATTCTCGGTGGGTCTGGAAAATTAATATTGTAGCAATGAACTCTTGGTTATTTTAAAGCTTACATAGCACATTCAATGCATATGTAGTATTGATGGAATGTTTCCAATCGGGATGACTCGCCACACATCGAACAATTGTTCCATCGTGAGCTTCTGTCGGCACAAAAGAGACGACATTTTCAACGGTATAACCTGATTCTCTTGTACTAAAAATGAAGATTGATGTGTGAAAAATATGGTGAATATCATACGTTTCGTTGAGAATTGTATCACCATTGTAAATCAACGGATTAGTGTCACCATTTGGATAGAAATACCATGATATCTGAGCAGCTGGGTTTGAAGCAGGTGCTGCGCAGAGAAGCCGCGCGGTTTTGCCAACGAGATGATGATGACTACTTGCCTCGGGCGGACGAATAATTAGGCGTCTTGGTGGATCTGAAGTTAAATAATATTGAAGTGAGCACTACTGAAATTCTTACAGTAAACGCTAAGTTGTCTAGATTCGACCAAGGGATCGTCTAATGCAGCATTCATTGCTTCACATTTCAATCTTTGCATATTCATTGATCGATCCATTCGAAGGGAAAGCGAAGAAATTGACGAATCTCCAGCAATCTCGTTTCGGGCTCCATTTATCTGAAAACAAAACAAACTATTTCACAATACATCTCGTGCGAAAAATTTCAAAATAATAGCGTATAGGCACTTAACGGAAGCGAGATAGCTGATTTCGAAATGAAAGAAAGTACAGAACATAAGCATGGTGTGCACAACATTCCGATAGTATTTCATATGAATAACTCTACCTGATACCACTTGGGTTTCTTTTTCCCTCTCAGCGTTGTCTTAAATGGAAAATTTGGAAAGTTTTTAGAATTTTGAAATGATAAACAATGAAAATGTTTTTTTTTTAAATACCTTTTCATAACCACGGAACCAAGATAGTTCTGCAAGCGGATTTCCACCGTGAGCTTCACAGGTGACATTAACAACGTCTCCCTCAAAATAATACATATCCTCAAGTCCAGAAATACGAGGAACCAAAGGAGGAGCTAAAAATTGAAATCTCAGTCATCTGAAAATATCATTGAAAAAAATTTACCAAGAATTTTGATAATGTGTTGCTTTGATGTGGATCCCTCGACATTTCTTGCGGTACATTCAACAGTAATTTGGTGTTTGGCAACATTTACTTCATTTGAATTGATAGTCAAATTAGATACAGTCACTTTTCCAAATTCCTGCAAATTGTTTGTGTTCCTCTCTCGTTTTGATCTTTCCTCAGTAAACAGACCTTTGAGTATTCACTTTGTGCAGATGTTGTGACAGGATGACCATTGACAAGCCAAGAAATTTGTGACGCTGGATTCGATGGGCTTAAATAGCGACAGTTGGTTTAATCCTCTCAAAAATTGCTACTCATAATACATAATAAATACAATGCACAAATCATTCAATTCACCCCTTAATTAGGGTTTTCTTATATTCCTGAGTGGAGAGACCGCATTAGTAAATGAATAAATTATTTTTCTCTCGTCTCGGCTGCGCTCATGTGCTTCCATTTAAAACATTAGTACACCCATGGAAACACTTAAACAAACAAAACTAACTGATTGATTGGATACACGTGTGTGTCATATATCCGGCTACTGTACAAATAGTAAGATAGCGCATGAATATAATTACTGACTCTTGGAAAATCTGAAGTTCAACAATAGACTTACAATGATTTGCATTGGATATTGGCAGTTTCTCCAAATCGCATGCTACTTTCTCCAAACATCTCGACACCGCCCGGAGCATCTGTAACGTTTCTCTTGATATTTTCAGTTTATTGTTGGAACGATTATACATGAAACATCAACTTTGATGAATTGTCTCGAAGGCTCCATGGTATGAGAGTTTTGAGTTCTACATTCGTAATTCGCCATATTATCCGTAGGTCCGGCAATAAACGAGTATACATTCTTGCTCTCCTGAAATAATATCCCCTGATATTTTTAACGACACCAAAGCTCCCTCAATTAATAGTCGTACTCCATAAATTTACGACCAACATTTCTGCTCATTTGATGCGATTGTTGTATAATTGTATGCACACCGCGTGTAATACACAAACGATTATGCAATCGGCATCTGTCGGCTGATGTCCAAATCCCCCGCGCGCTTTTTTGCTCGGCTGCTCAGCAGCCTTTGCCTGTCTTAATTTGGGGCCAAATAGATGGGGTGCTTTGATGGGAAACGGCTTATTAAATTTTGAGTACGCCGAACCTCATATTAAGTTGAAGTGATCTCCCCCATTCCTCTCAAGGCCGCTGAGTAAGAATTTCATGCTCGCACAATATCAATCACGTCTAGTGTGTAAAAGAAGCAACAAAACTTTTTCGGCTACCAAGAGATTTCACAATATATCTCAAGAACCCTGGGGGAATGTGTCTGGTCCACAATATAAAGCACAGCCATCGCAAGAAAAAGGAGGACCGAATATCGGGAACCATTCACCTGGGCTTAAGAGGCACTCAAGCCGCTGACCGAGATCAATCAAAAATGTGATACCCAAACCCGGTCATGAGCTCATTGAAGCGTACCATAAGACACTCATAAGCATCTTTTCGGTAAGCCCGGCGCGACTTAAAAAAACTGCGGTAACCATCTGTTGAAGATCTCAAGGGAGCTGACACACGCAGGTCAGTCGTGCCATCTTTTTCGCAACATGTGGAGATTTTTTGGACGTCGTAAAAATGACAGCTAATTTATTATGGCGTGTACAAAGGGGGTCGGGTGCCGCGATTGAATATCGATCAGTTCATTTTTCTATTCCCTAGTCATTGGAACTCAAAATGTTTGCGAATCGAAACGCAATGCGCAATTTCAATTACATTTCTATTTGCCTTGAACGAAAAAAAAACTTACATGAGTGGTAGCGTCTAGCACAAACCGCGAATCAATCAATTTGTCATTGAGGTACCATGATACATTGGGTGATGGATTTCCGCCGGTCACCGTGCATGCAATTGTCACATTGTCCCCGGACCGAACGAATTTTTCGCCGTTCACAAATTTGACCACCGGCTCATCGGGAGGAACTGCAAAGACGGCCATTAGAAACCATCATCAATTTCAAACTAAACACAACATCAAAAAGAAATTGTCATAAATTCTCTTTTCGAATGTCTCTTTATCGGCGTGTGTAATAATGAGGTAGAAAAGCGTTCGGTTCACTTTTCCAATCGTTTTTATTCGACTCATCCAATAGTTCGAGACCGCACACCTCTGGTAGAAATGCGCGGCTAGCACGAACAACTTCAAAGAGCCAAGCCGACGGGAAATGTCTGCTCCCGATATGCATTACAATAAAAGGCTCCACAGCCAGATTCTCACAAATCATTGTGATTTACTAGGTGAAGAAATGAATTGTACGATTTTGCCAGGAAACGAGGCCAATGTTGCATTTTAACGCTAAAATTTTTCATATGAAAACATACACAGGACATTGAGAGTTGTGTTAGTTCGAATTTTGGTTTTCGTTTCTTCATGATATGCCTCACACGTCAACGTTTTCTTATGATCTCCTTTTCTTAAAAAAAAAACAAAAATGTTATGAAATTATTATTTTTCATTGAAAACCTTGGACGGAATTCCAGGCTAGCATAAGACGTGGATGTTTTGTTCAAATGGTATGTCGAGGTATGTCGAACACCGGTGTCAATTTTTCTTCCGTTTATGTACCTGAACAACCAATATAATTTATGATGATCAATTCATCATCCAACCATGATATTCTCGGCTCCGGTTTAACATTTGGTGTAACACAAGTGATGTTCAGCGGTGTGTTCTCATTAATATCAATAGTCGATCCCGACTGGTAATTGGTGAAGTGGATGAGAGTAGGAGGCACTGCAAATCAATTTTGCGGTTATGTTAAAATAGGCTGCTACAAATACCAAGAATATTGAGATAAGCTGATGCTCTTATAGGTCCTTCTTCAGGTTGAAGCATTTGACACTCAAATTTTCCATCATCTTCTAGAGTAACCTTTTCAATTTTCAAATGAAGCTCTTCCGGAATTTCTTTCACATAGCTGTATCGTCCTTGATGTCCGGGAAGAACACCACCCTGGTGGTATCCTAATAAGGAACCCGTATTGCTTTTCCATTGGCTGTATCTGAAATCACATCATTGTAAAATTACAACAAATTTACGTTTTTCTCACATTAAAGCTTCAGCAGACTTCTGTGCAGCACATCGAAACAAAACGTTGCTTCCAAGCTCGACAGAATGATTTTTCGGGGACTCCACAAAGTTACCAGTAGCTCGGTAAGCTATGGTTAACACTAATAATTGCAAAAACAAGCTCATCTCATGCTAATGTGTCTACAGATGGAATCCCTAAATTATATTGTATTAATATATACATACATAATTAACATTAATAAAGTAAATAATACGAAATCAACACGAGCATGTACACAGTATAGAAAAGATAGATAGATAGAATCATGGCGCTCGAGAGGGTGGTTGAATGCGCAGAAGGAGGAGCTCAGTGGGTGGTCTTTGTGAGTCCGGTAAGTGCGAGCTGACAAATGTATTGAAAACGGTCGCAAAAGCTGTATTTCATGCTTGAGCGACAATTGTAAGAAAGCCGACCGACAAAAGATCTCGGAGCCACCAGATGCATATGCTGCCTGCATATTGATATTCATCACATTGTGGTGAGAAATTTAGCAGGCGAGAGTAGCGCGAAGAAAAAAAAATGTATACAGAATTAACGGGCAACTTTAACAGGTTGAGGGTTGCGATTTTAAATTGCGAGCAACTCATTTATAATTGAATCTTATCGCAAAAAAAAACGAGGCGTTGAAAATTGCTAATAGGATTTCGTCCACCAAGTGCAACAAATTCAGCAAATTCAATTAGCTCAAAAAATTGATTCAATTCACCCTGCTTTTTCCAAAAATCTATCTAATCATAAATAACAAACAAAAAGCCTTCTTTTGGATAAAATATTTAATGGGAAAAACCGGGGGGCCTAAAGATGACGGGCAGCCGGCTGTTTGCACGTGTGAATGTGTCGCGCTAATTGAAAACCGTTTTGAGGATCTGTGGCGTTTTGAATGCACGAGATTGCCATCTCGCAAAAACAATATGGAAAGGCCATCGGTCAACCATGTTTCAATTAAAAACGCTCAAAATGGTCAGGAAGTTCGATTATGCAACCCAGCGTTCGCACTCAAGTTGTTTGAATAGTATCACTACTTAAGGTAATGACATTTAAACAATAATAGTAGTGGTTGGTGTCACTAATGCGCACTGAATGCTTGAACAATAGGTATGTATAGTGTTGCGGAAAGAACGGAGTATACATTGTTTTCAATGCCTAAGAATACAGTAGTGAGGAAGAAAAGTAAAGGAAGAAGAAAATGGATATTTTGGTTTAATGGGAGATTTTCCAATATTATGAGTATTCGAATTAATAAAAATTATGTACGCTAACGCTAACCTTTAATGTATGCACAGATTGTGTATAATGACTGTCGCCAGCAATTAACAATGATGCAACAGGAACAATGGAGGAAGATAGAGAATTTGGATTTGTGTAGGTAATACAACGGAAATGTATCTGAGAAACGCGAGGCTCCCAGTATCGCTTCATTTCCTCAAGATCACCGTTCGGCTATGGGTCAGCAGCTGACGCCGTCGAGAATCGCTGCGAAACAACTGATGGGCACACAGGTTGACGAATGAACCGAGTTACTCAAACGTATCGCCTCAATTTGCTGCAAGGGGGGTCATCGAATGAAAAGAAGAGTAAAGGAGAGGTTTTTAATAATCGTGATGACGGTAAATAAGTCTCGCAGAAAGGTGTGAATACGCAGATAATGAGCAAGGAAAATGAGGGGGTTTCCTTCCGACTCGTGTTCACTCGGCGCGTATGGAAAAAAGGAGGCTGTCGGTGCGCGCGCATGGATATTAAAGGTACCAACCAGCCAACCTATGGTTAACGGTGTCAATTTACAAATGCAGTGCGCGAGATGGAAAATTTCTGGCCAAGATGGTTATAGAATAGATGTATCCAGTTTTACTATACAAATGCCAGATTTGTTGGCAAACTTTCATTTCACATATTTTAATCAAGAAAAATAACTTATTATGTATTATATATCCTTCATGTTATAATTTAATTCTTATTGTGGGACACAAATGCATTCACTACTGATGGCATTGAAAACGTGTGTTCGGTGGGATATCCAATATGAAAAAAAATGAAAAAAAATAGCAACTTTTGAGACGTGTTACACAAAACAAGAAAAACACATTAGTATGATTTATTTCGGACAATTTTTGCGAGGCTCTTTGTCCTTTCGAAATGAAACGAAACGAACGGACAAATGATGGCGAAACATCTGTGAATATAATGCTTTACGATGCTATGCGCAACATAAAGAGAAACGAATGATTCTCGAGATCCCATGTGCAGGTACCCAAACGAGTATGCCAATAATAACAGCTTATTACAATTAACGAAAACATACATCAAAAAAGGCGGTACCGGAAAAAAGGACCGAACGCACCGGCAGACACACGCGCACACTCGTAAAACTGGCTAATCTCGGATAATGAAGTGAACGGAGCGGCAGCAGAATGGTTCACCTAATGAAGTGAGTTGGTCGGTTGTTATGATGAATGAATCTTAGATAATTAAGAAGGTCACGGCATTAATTTAATTTTGGGATGAAGCTCTGCGTACTTGTTTTTCATTGCCCACTTGATTAACAAACCAAATTTTGAGCATTTGGCATAATGCTAGGGTGTCTTCTGTGTGACAGTGATTAGCTCATCGAAGCCGCAAGAACATGACAAGATGAATGAGTATATTAAAACGCATGAGCTTCTCGTTTTATGATGTGATCGAAAGACGAGTGGCGGGGGAGGGGAGGTCCGTCTTTTTCTCGTTTTTTTTTCGAAAATCTCACAGGAATTCTGAGCAGTTGTTTATAAAAAAAAAGAGTATGTTTTTTGAATTATTAAAATTCACAAAACCTGCGCAAAACCACAACTTTGGTTTTGGTGTAAAATTGCGAAAACTGATGAAGTCGCTGGGATTTTGAGGATAAATGAGCCGTTGCGGTGAGCAAAAGTTCCCATAGGAAATTAATCTTTCGCATTTTGGAACAACGTTAACTCGAAGGAACTTGAATGAATAAAGTATTTTTTAATTACATTGAAGATGCACAAAAAATAATTGACGTTTTGAGTTGACATATTGGAGAAAAAAACACAAACATACATGTGTTGACGGGATTTGAAGATTCCAGTTATAAACAAAAAATTTAAATTTGAAGAAAACAAACTGTATTTTCATTTATTTTGGCTAAGCAAAATCGCTATATTAGATTTAAAAAAAAGGCCTATCTTGATCCTTCACAAATATTTTTTAATTGAAAAATGGTCATTTTAGATAAGAGGTCACAAGTCGAAATACAGAATGAATGCACTAAAGTAGTAACATTTTGGAAAACGCATAGTAGTGATGCTCAAAGCAGTTAGCATGAATAAAAAATCATGGTGAAGGAAATGTCGAAACAGCAGCACAATAATCGTGGCGCGAGATGAAAACTACACGCCACCCATCCCTTAAATTACTCGAGCTGATCGCTTCCTGAGCCGAACTAATCGCCCACTATAGTTTTCCCACCTTCTTCGTGTTTTGCCGCCGCGCATTAAGTGATTCTCATCAGTATTCAAATAATTTGAGCATGTGTGTATGCTGTTAGAAAGAAGGGGGGGGAAGTCCAGCTTCGATCGCAATCTTTTTTTGCTCAACATTACTACTTAGTTAGCTGTGGGAAATATGCGCAAAAATATGCAAAGTATCAGCGGACCACGACGAGACAAACGTGGCGTCTCTATTCATCTTTCGATTCTCACAAAAAAAAACCACAGATTCTGATTAATTCAGTAAAAATTGATTCTATAAATATTTACGATACGATTGTTTCGAAAGAAGGATCGCGAGGCATTCATGATAAACAAATTTTTTGGATTATAAAACATGTATTAGAATAATACAATAATATGGATATAACAGTGAAAACCTTCGAAATGTGATATCTCGAAAAAAGGTTTTTATAATTTAAATTTTTTTTAGTTTTTCACCAAGAAATCAAAGAGATCAAAAAATAAAATAAAAGATTTTAGTTTTTCAAATATATAATCAAACTATTACTGAATCTGGTTTTATTTTTCAAAAAATTTTACATCGTTCAAAAAAAAAAATGAAATTAATGTTACTTTACTCCAGAAAAATATGCAATAACAACTTCGGGTGACATGCAACTCATAACCCAGTTCAGATTCAATTAATAAAGGTATTATAAGCGAGCATTGCGTGCGGCAAAAACACTTGATTCCGCCACCAGAATTCTATAGATGTCCGATTTGGCAGGAAACACTGAAGGTAATAGAATTGGGAGAGGGGTGAGGATATTGGAAGGGGGGAGTGTACGACTACTAGATATTTGCAGACTTCTACTTCTAGTGACAGTGCTAATTGGCTAAACTAAGAACTTCCTGTGGCTGACATACGTTGAGATTTTTATAACATTACACTGTAAGGTGTAAATGACCTCTGTCATTCAAATTCGCGAGTGCTCTCTGAGCCGTAAACCTGACAAAGGTAACTTCTTCGAGATGCATCATTATCGCAGGGACTGTCAGCTGTGCAGTGTCAAATGTTTTATTTGATTTATGCTCAGTAATGAAATCTATTTTTTCTCGCATCGAGCACAAATTGATAGATACTATCAATTTGTGAATCTCCGCACTTTTTTTTGCACGGCTCGGAAAAACGAAAAATCACACTATGGGTGGTGGTTGCGTGTTTGCAAAGTAAAAACTGGGCGGCGAAGCTTTTTGACGCATTCTGAAACATCCACATAAATCCTCATATGAATTGTCACATATATTAGGCGAATCGGAACCTTTTTTGTCGAGCGTGTGTTCCCAGGGGAACGCGCTTTCAACTTTCTCACACTTTTTTCTTTCGCTGGAGTGGTTTTGCGCTTGAAAATGGATTCAATATATGTATAGATGTGTAGAAGTCGCCAAAATCGTGGGCCAAAATATTAGATTGTTTTGCATCCTTGAAAAAAAAATGAGAAAAGAGAATGAAGAGGGAAAACAATATGATCAACGAATTCATGCACAATTGATATATATATTATTTAGTTTTAACTTTGTTACCCTAAAATTTGAATACCAATTCTCACAATTGGAAAAAAATATATATTATTAGCTGTTATTGTTAGGCGAATGTTAGTCTATTGAACAAGTTAGCTTTTATGTCAAAATAAAAACTT